TGAACCCCTACTCATTTCTTGCCCAATGGGTTCCTCAGCTCCGCCCTCTGACCCCTTTTGATCTCTCCCCTCCTCCCTCCTGTGAAAATCCCAGTCCCTCAACCCCTCTTTTCCTCAGACCCCCATTTATTCTTGGGTCAGACGTCTCCCGATGTATCCTAACCTTTCCCTTCCCTTCTTACTGGGGTCTTCCAGTGCATTGTCAGTCCTCCAACCTCAGCTACTCCAGGTCCCTCAGACCTTTCCGGGTACACACTGGGACCCCCTTCCACTTGCTCTGTACCGGGTCCTCATATTCGTCTTACTGGACTCCACGGGGACCATCACCCTCCCGCGAGTATGCCTAGACCCTAAACACCCCCTTCCACACGTACCCTAGGGTCCCTCAAGCCCCTCCCCCCTGCAGCCGCGCCGAGCCACACGGCCCGTGGCCGCTGTTTACAAGGACACGCGCTTCCTGACAGTGACGCGAGCCGCCTCCTCCCCTTCCCCACGCTCCAGGAGGGGGGCGCGGGGGCCCGGCTCCCGCGACGGCCAATCAGAGCGCACTTCCGCAGCTGACAAACGCGGTATAAAGGCGTGGGGCTCGGGCTGAGCGGCTGGGACCTTGAAGGCGACCAGGCCAGCATCGGAGCCAGCAGGGAGCGGGGAGCAGTGGGAAGCAAGCAGAGAAAGCGAGCGCGCCACAGAGGGTGAGAAGGGCTCGAGAAGCCCGACAGAGCTTTCGCGCAAGGCTACTAGCTGGCTGCTCTCGGCTCGTACCAGCTCCTGAGAACGCGCGACCAGACATCGGGTCCGGCCACAGCCGCGGACACCTCGCCGCTCGCCGCAGCGAGGCCCGGGGCGGCCCCACCGAGACCCTTCCCAGACCGCCTGGGCCGCCCGGATGTGCACTAAAATGGAACAGCCCTTCTACCACGACGACTCATACGCAGCGGCGGGATACGGTCGGACCCCTGGTGGCCTCTCTCTCCACGACTACAAACTCCTGAAACCGAGCCTGGCGCTCAACCTGGCGGACCCCTACCGAGGTCTCAAGGCGCCCGGGGCACGGGGCCCCGGCCCGGAGGGCAGTGGTGCCGGCAGCTACTTTTCCGGTCAGGGCTCAGACACGGGCGCGTCTCTCAAGCTCGCCTCCTCGGAGCTGGAGCGCCTGATCGTCCCCAACAGCAACGGCGTGATCACGACGACGCCCACGCCCCCGGGACAGTACTTTTACACCCGCGGAGGTGGCAGCGGCGGAGGTGCGGGGGGCGCAGGGGGCGGTGTCACCGAGGAGCAGGAGGGCTTCGCCGACGGTTTTGTCAAAGCCCTGGACGATCTGCACAAGATGAACCACGTGACGCCCCCCAACGTGTCTCTGGGCGCTAGCGGGGCCCCCCCGGCCGGGCCAGGGGGCGTCTATGCCGGCCCGGAGCCGCCTCCAGTCTACACCAACCTCAGCAGCTACTCCCCGGCCTCTGCGCCTTCCGGAGGCGCTGGGGCCGCCGTCGGGACCGGGAGCTCGTACCCGACGGCCACCATCAGCTACCTCCCACATGCGCCACCCTTTGCCGGCGGCCACCCGGCGCAGCTGGGCTTGGGTCGCGGCACTTCCACATTCAAGGAGGAACCTCAGACCGTGCCAGAGGCGCGCAGCCGCGACGCCACGCCGCCAGTGTCCCCCATCAATATGGAAGATCAGGAGCGCATCAAAGTGGAGCGCAAGCGGCTGCGGAACCGGCTGGCGGCCACCAAGTGCCGGAAGCGGAAGCTGGAGCGCATCGCGCGCCTGGAGGACAAGGTGAAGACACTCAAGGCCGAGAACGCGGGGCTGTCGAGTACCGCCGGCGTCCTCCGGGAGCAAGTGGCCCAGCTCAAACAGAAGGTCATGACCCACGTCAGCAACGGCTGCCAGCTGCTGTTGGGGGTCAAGGGACACGCCTTCTGAGAGCCTCCCCCCACCCCCGTACGGACATCCCCCCCCCCAGCCTGGACGGCTGGGCGCACGCCTCCCACTGGGGAGGAGGGGACAGGCGGTGGGCACCCCAAGGCTCGGGGTCGCCGCAAACCACACTGGACTCCGGCCCGCTCGCACTGCGCTCAGTCCTTCCACCTCGACGTTTACAAGGCCCCCCTTCCATGTTTTTTTTTTGTATGTTTTTTTTCTGCTGGAAACAGACTCAATTCATATTGAATATAATATATTTGTGTATTTAACAGGGAGGGGAGGAGGGGGCGATCGCGGCGGAGCTGGCCCCGCCGCCTGGTACTCGAGCCCGCGGGAACACTGGGGAGGGGACCCCCGCCCCCTGCCCTCCCCCCTCTGCACTGTACTGTGGAAAAGAAACACGCACTTAGTCTTTAAAAAGAGTTTATTTTAAGATGTGTTTGTGTGTGTGTGTGTGCGTTTGTTGTTCTGACTTTTTATTGAATCTATTTAAGTAAAAAAAAAAAGGTTCTTTATTAATTTCTGTCGTCTTTTTTTTCCCGAGCCGGGAGGGTGGAGGGAGAGGAGTGGGATGCCCCCATCCAATTGCTATTTTGGATCCAGCCCAGACGCCCAATCCTCCGCGTCCCTCATCTCTAAGGTTGAAAGGTCCAGCGCTGGACGCGGTCCGGCCGCGCAGAACCCAGGGCACAACGCGGAGTGCGCAGTCGCGACCACGCCCACCCCCGCGCGCCGGGGCTTTCCCCGCTGACGCAGCGGAAGCGCTGGCCATATATGGGCCGATTCTGCTCAGTGACGCCATGCTGGTCTCTGGGCAGATTCCGGGAATCCCCTCCCCCGCTCTGCCCGGCAGAGCCTCGGCGCCGGGAAGGGGGCCGGGATTTTCCCAAGCGGGCGGCTGCCTGGGCCCGGAAAGCCCCAGGCCTCAGTCCAGAGCGCCCGCGGTGGGCGGGCTGCGCTCTCCTGGGCCCCGGGAGCCACCTCCGATCCTCCCTCAACAGGCTGGCGCCTGGGCCCTGCCGCACCCACGCCCCCTTCGTCTGATCTGACCCAGGCTGAGGGTTGCTGCAGCCTCAGCGTCGTTGCCTCTGCTGTTCTCCCCAACCCCCGCCAGGAAGGGCGGCGCCCGCCTGCCAGTTTCCCCTCCCGGGTGCCAGGCCCACAGCAGGGCGACTGCCAGGTCTGGTCCTGCCAGGGCAGTTGCTTGGGCCACTGGGCGTCGTCACCGCCCTCACGCCGGGACCCCTTCCCTGCAGTTGGGACAGAGATGGAAGTTGGGGCTGCAGACTTGCCCCATGGGGTCTGGCTGACCTTCAAGTTGGAAGACCCCAGAGCAAAGGATAAACTAGGTCACTGCATCGGGACAGGCAAAACAGGCACTGCGTTCAATTCTTGCATAAAATACTGGACTAGGGTTGTAGCTCAGAGGTAGAGTGGATGCTCACCATGTTTCAGGAGTCATGAGTTCAATATCTAACACTAAAGAAAAAAATAAAGCACTGGGCCTGTTTGTACACACCTGTAATCTCAGTACTCAGGAGACTGAAGCAAGGGGGATCTCGATTTGCAGGTCAACCTGAGCTACATTGGGAGATCCTATTTCAAAAGCAAAAACCCCAACCAACCAAAAAACCCTGAATAACTAGGCCCCTGCCCCGCAGACAGACAATAAATATACAAACATTATGTGGATATAGTGGTAAGGACTAGGAAGAAAAACAGCTGGAAGTGAGGGTGATGGGGTAGGTGACAAAAGCTGCTTTGCAGATGGCAATTATGCAACTGATTTAAAGGAGTGGAGGCCTGAGTAAATGGAACAGTACATGCAAAGTTCCTGTGGCCAGAAGAACTATAGAAGCCAGTGTGACCTGGAACGGAATGAACCATGACCAGGTAGATGAGCACAAGGGAGGGATTTTGGGGAGAAGTGTACATTAAATTCTAAACGAGAACTGGAGATGTTGCTCCATGGTAGGGCATCTGCCTAGCATGTGAGTTTGATTACCGATATGGAGGGTGGGGTGGGGTAGGGTGGGAAAAGCCAGCCTGGGCAAATAGTTGATGACACTCGATCTCGAAAATACCCAATCCAGGCTGACAGAGTGGCTCAAGTGGTGAGAATGCCTGCCTAGCAATACTGAGGCCTTCAGTTCAAATCCCAGTACAGCCAAAATATAATAAAAACAAAATTCAATACTGAATTTAAAACAAATTGCAAGGTGCTCACGCCTATAATCCTAGCTACTTCAAAGGTCTTCAAGTTCAAACCTCAGTACCTCCAAAAACCCAAAAAACAGTTATAGCTCACACCTATTTTGTTTTGTTTTTGGGTGCTGGGGTTTGAACTCAGGCTCTACACCTTGAGCCACTCCACCAACTCTTTTTGTGATGGGTTTTTTTTGAGAGAGGGTCTCTTGAACTATTTGCTGGGGCTGGCTTCGATCCTCTATCTCCCTGATCTCTGCCACCTAAGTAGCTAGGATTACAGGTGTGAGCCACTGGCGCCTGGCTGCAACTGGGGTTTGAACTCAGGGCCTCACACTTACTAGGCAGTAGCAGGTGCTACTTAGGAGACTGAGATCAGAAGAATCAGGGTTTGAGGCCAGCCCTTGCAGATAGTTTGAGATCCCCATTTCCAAAATAACTGGAGCAAAACGGACTGGAGGTGTAGCTCAAGCAGTAGACTGTGAAGCCTTGAGTTCAAGCTTCAGCCTCACCAAAATTTGATCCTCCTGACAGCTAGGATACCCGGGGTGAGCCACCCCCCCCTCCCCCCGCTCCATCCCCTCCCAGCCCATCTTTATTCCCATCCAATCAAGAGACCCAGAGAGATCACCACTGCCAGCTTTCAGGAGGTAGGGATTGCTAGACTTGCTCCTTTCAAGGGACAAGCAGTGCCCCACCCCCAACCTTGGAAACTGCGCTCAAGCTATGGAGGAAGGTGATAGAGACTAAGCAGTGCATGAAGACCGCCACCTTGTGGTAAAGATAAGTAACTACACGACCAGTTTCCCAGGCCAGAGAACCCGAGCAGGGAGACCTCCAGACAGAGCACACCAAGAGACTCATATCTGTCCCTAATACTTTATTGGGTCACCTATAGACCTATGTCCAGCTGGGTGGGCTCCAGAGAGGGGGTCACTATTCACCAGATTCCAGGAGAGGGTTGAGAAAGCCTTAGCCTAGCCTCCATCTCTCCCCCAGACTACCAAGCTTGGAGGGGCAGGTCTGGCCTTTCCTTGGCCAGCACCGGGCACCCAAATGGGGGTACAGGTGGGATCCAACAGAAGCTCACTACCCGTCTGCCAGCCTAGTTGTGTTTGGAGAAGTATTCTTTGCTGTCATCCACATTGGGCTTGATGGTGTCGCTGCCAGGCTTCCAACCAGCGGGACAGACTGTGGAAAGACACACAAGGATGCACGCTGAGGCTCCAGCCGCATAGTCAAGGTCAGGGGACAAACAGAAGCAAAGCAACAGGCTAGGATGCAAAAGAAAAAGCAAGGAGCCAAGTGGGACTGGTCCCAAGAACATGCATCTTGAAAGAAACCCTCCAAACCCAGAGGCTGTTATTTTCCTTTTTTTTCCAGCAGTATTGCCCTTTGAGCTCAGGGTCTTGTACTTACTAGGCAGGCGCTGTACCATTTGAACCATGCCCCTAGCCCCTTCTTTTTCTTTTCATGTCTTTGTTTTTCTATATTGGCAGGAGTGGGGTTTGAACTCAGGGCTTCACACTTGCAAAGCAGGTGTTCTACCACTTGAGCCATATCTCCAGTCCATTTTGCTCTGGTTATTTTGGAGATGAGGTTTTGAAAACCATTTGCTGGGGCTTTCCTAGAACCACAATTCTCCCGATCTCAGCTTCCCAAGTAGCTAGGATTTCAGGCCTGAGCCACCAGCATCCAGCTCTCAAATACCTTCTATAAACCTGTCAGCTCTATACCTTTGTATTGGGGTACCTACCTTCTATAGGCTAGAAAATTCCTGCAGACAAGTCCCTGAGCCATTCCCTAATATCAATTCCATGCAGGTGCTAGGGCTCAGTTTATGTCTATATGACTGACACACAGCTGAAGTCATATCCATGTGTGAACACACGTGGTATCCACTCACCTTCCCCATGCTCATCCGTGTACTGGAAGGCCTGGACCAGGCGCAGGGCCTCATCCACGGAGCGCCCCACAGGCAAATCATTAACTGTGATCTGGCGAAGGACACCCTTACCATCGATGATGAAGAGGCCCCTGAAGATATGAGGGTTCAGTGATGATCTGGGAGTTCCCATTTACAGGGCCAGACAAGAGGACACCACCCCACTACCAGCCCCTTTAGCCTGAGGATATGGGCTCCCTGAGCTGGGCTGAGGAACCCCCCAGTCCCACTGCCCACCCCCACCTCCACCCCTGTACCTGTAGGCGATGCCCTCATCATTTTTCAACACGCCGTAATTATGAGACAAGTTTCTGGTCACATCAGCAAGCAGGGGGATGTTCAGAGGGCCCAAGCCTCCCTCCTTCCGGGGGGTGTTGATCCTGAGGAGGGAGAGACAAGAGACAAAGTTGCGGCCTCAGAATGCCCTGCACAGCAGGATCCTCACCCTGGGGGCCCCCTTGTGATAAGGGCTAGAGTGGGGATGGTGGAGGCAAGAGATAAAGAGCTTTGGAGCAGGTCCCAGGGGCCCCACCCACCCCACTCCACCCTTGGGGGTGGTGCAGCAGGGAACAGAATCCCCATCAGCCAAGATTCCCATCTCCAAGTGGTTCCACTTGTGTCCAAGGTTCTGGCCTCCAGAAAGTCAGCACTGAGTTTCCATCCTAGCCAGTACAATGACTCAGGCAAAAACACGACACCCTATCCCCAAAAACAACTAAAGCAAAATGGGCTGCGGGCATGGTTCAAGTGGTAGAGCACCTGCCTAGCAAACGTGAGATCCTGAACTCAAACCCCTGTACTGCAAAAGAGAGAGAGATCCCATCCTGGGGCCCTGCCCTTCAGTAAACTAGAATTTTACACCTTCACGAAATAAGGCAATGCAGCCTGCAGCCTGTCTCAGAGAACTCAGATAAAGCATCTGCAACTCCAAGGCCATGCAACTAACTAGTTGCCAAATGCTAATTACCATCATCATCATTAAAGGCTTGGGTGTCATTACTTCCATTCTTTTCAGATGGGGAAAGGGAGGCCACGGGCTTGGCTCTATGGTGTGGGTTTAAATGCACCCTCCCTGATCTCTGTCCATACCAGGCCAGGTGGGTGAACTGAGAGTCCACGGAGACTCCCAGCACCTCGCACCCCAGCTTGCGGAAGTCTTCTGCATGCTCACTGAAAGCGATGATCTCCGTGGGGCACACAAAAGTGAAGTCCAGTGGGTAGAAAAAGAGGACCACGTACTTCCCTGGGGACGAGGAGAATGGAGGAAAAGTAAGGGCCCAATCTTTAGGATAAGTGGGCCCCGCCCCCACCTGGACCCCCTCCAGGCAGCTTCACCTCTGTAGTCCGAAAGCTTGACCTCCTTGAACGCGCCATCCACCACCGCGGTGGCTGTGAAGTCAGGGGCGGGCTTTCCGATGTGCGCATTGCCGGAGGCCATGACTGAAAGCCGAGACCCCCGCCTGGTCAGTGCGCGGAAGACCCTTTGTCCTCCCTTTCCAAGGTCACGTTGTGTGTTGGGCCCAATTACTGAGCAGGGCGGCGGAAGCAGCAGTATTCACATTCCCCCCTCCCCAGTACCGGGTCTGCAAGGCCGAGAGGCTGCTGGAGGTCCCGTACCCCCTCCCCCCTTCGTTAGGGCTAGAGTGACCTGGCCACGGCCTCCAGGCCCCCCAATAGCGAGTCAGCCGGAATGCAGCAGCGCAAGCCCCCAGCCCAGGAGATGACGACGCCCCCCTTCTCCAGAGCAGAGAACTGGGAATCTGGTGATCGGGCCTGTACCCCAAGGCTCGGTTTTCTCCGCGAGGACAAAGGCGGCCACCATGGCGATGATCTCAGCATAGAGATCATCGCTTTTAGCAATGAGGTCCGGACGGAGCCAGAATTGCAAGAAGGGGGCTCCTCCCAATCGGGTGTACTGCAAGTTTCCATACCTGCGCAGGCAAGAGCAGACACGCGGACAAGCGAAGGCACGCACTGGCGTTCTCAGCCGCAAGTGAGCGCAGGGCCTTCGAACCTTTTATACTTGGCCTGAACCATGACGCGCAGGGTGGGGGTAGGTGGGCGGGAGAGCCGAGCGGTCTGGTCCACTGCGCGGGCAGGGGAGGGGGAGCGGAGCTGCTGGATCCCTGCGCTTGCGCGCGGCGGGCGGAGTGGGAGGGGGAGTTGGAGCACCGGGAAGGGGGCGGGCCGAGCGAAGATGCGCAGCAGCAAGCGGGGACCAATGCACCTGCCGGAGTGGTTATTGCGGGTGCCGCAGACTCCACGGCGCGTGGCTGGATCCCCGAGCGCACTGGGGGCAGTTGGAGTTCGGGCATGGCCCGGGGCCAGCCCGCACAGCTGCTGCTCCTTCTGATGAACCTGCTGCTAGCGTCCCCTGCCCAAGTTTCCACTGACTACCAGTACTTCGGCCAGCAGGGAGAAGGTGACACCTGGGAGTTGTTGAGGCTGCAGCAACAAAAGGGTAAACACAGGCGGCGGGGGTGACAATGCCGAAAGGTGCCCCATGGCCACACTTCGCCAACTGGCTGCAAACAGAACCTCCTTGGTAGACTTCACATCTCCCCTGGCCCAACACTGGTGGTGTCCCCTGGGGCTGGTTTCTTTCCTCTGAGGCTCAGTTTTCTCATCTGTTCATTGTAACTGACACTGCTTGTAAGAACTCTCGAGGGGAGAGGGGGCGTTGGTAGGCAATAAACAAGTGACACCTTCCCATAAACTTCTGGATAGGGACTAGGAATGGCAGTGGCAAAGAATGGGGTCGTCAGACTTGGGAAGTCAGAAAAGGTGTGCCTGAAGAAGATAGGGAACAGATACAGCCGTGATGAGTGCTGGTGGCTCAAAGGTTAGAGGGGATGCTTTGTAAGCCTTGAGTTCAAACCCCAGTCCCGCCCAAAACAAAACAAATACAGCCAGAATGACAAGTCAAAGCCTCTAAAAGCGTGAAATCCTGGATTCAATCCTTAGCTCTGAAAAAAAAAGTTTCAAGTGATCATAATAATTACTTTGTTTCTACATGCTAACACAAAGCCAGGGGCTTAAGTACCTTCATTATGTCAATTATGTCATCTAATTTACCACCTGTCAGCCCTGCTGGTCAGGTGGCATTGTGCCTGCGGGATAGGCCCATGAACCACCCCTTAAAGATAGAAGTCAACTTCTGATGGCAGGTGCCAAAGGTGTCCAACTCCCAACAGGGCAGGCTGGCACAGATTAAAGGTGTCATTTTGCAGTCTCTCTGGGTCACTCACCAGATGCGTGACTTGTTTTCTCTAGGTCTCACTTTTCCCAACCTATGACTAATAGGAAGAATAAATAGCTCAGAAGCAGGGCCTAGCAAATATGAGCTGGTATTTGGTGTACTCACCCCTCCCCCTCCTGATTTGGCTTTTCATATCCGCCCTCCATCTCTAGTGGAGAACTCGATCCTGGGCCCTTGGGGAAAGTGGCGCTGTTTCTGCGACTTTGGCAAACAGGAGCGCAACCGCGAGGTGCTGGGCACAGCGCCGAGCCCGGTGTTCATGCGTCGCAAGAACCTGGTCCAGGTGATGCCCTGCCGGCAAGAGGACTGTCCATCGTGCAGGCCGATAGACTGCAACTGGAGGTCCTGAGCCGGGGTGAGTGACCCGCGCAGGGGCCCTGAGTCCCAGGAGTGGGCAAGGAAATAGGAAGGGTGGTGGGAGTCGTACAAGTAAGAAGGGAAAACTGTAGCCCTAACTCGGAGGCTAGAGACTGGTAGGGGAGGGACAGCAGAGTCAGAACATAGGAGCCCTCCTGAGATGGAGGGAGAAAACAAAAAAGGTGGCTGGGCCGGGAAGACGCAGGCCCCAGTAAGATAGGGGATAGCAGGAGAGCTTGGGGACATGAACCCTGAATCTGGAGAAATGAACCTGTAACAGTGGAGACCCTGAACAGGAATCTGCTGGGGTCTGGGATCTCCAATAGGGGTAGGGGCGACTTGGCTAGAATGAGAGAGGGTGGGAAGCAGAAGACTTGGGGGTAAGGGGGGTCTGAAGAACGACTGAGGGAGGGAGTTTGGGGATCCCAAGTGAGAAGGCGTGAACCAAGTGGAAGTTGGGATTACCAAAATGCAAGGAATTAAGAATATATGAAGGGGAAGGTTGCAAGTACTAGGGCCTGAATACCCGGTAGGAAACAGGGACCGAATGGTGCAGAGACCCACATTCTGGGAGTGTAGAGACATTTCACCTTTTAAACCCCGAAGTCAACTGAGCTGAGTCTCAGTTTCCCCTTTATTTCACTCTTCTCACCAGCCTCGGCGGGTCAGGCCCCAGCGATCCCTGGGCTGAGTCTGCAAAACGACCTCACCCACCCCAGTTTGCAAACCTCACCCTCCGCGGTTGCCCCCGGGAACTACAATTCCCAAGAAACTGCACGGCAGGGGCGTTGGCTGCGTAAACGTCGACGCCGGCGGGAGCGCCGAGAGCGGGTCCTGCGCGCTGATTGGTCAGGATCCAACGTCGCTGCCCGGCCCGCGGAAAACGCGCGCCGGGGTCTGCGCCCTCAGCTTTCGTTCTTGCAGCTGGTGGCCGCGGCTGAGGCGGCATGGACCTCAGCGAGCTGGAGAGGGACAATACAGGCCGCTGTCGCCTGAGCTCCCCTGTGCCTGCGGTGTGCCGCAAGGAGCCCTGCGCCCTGGGTGTCGATGAAGCGGGCCGGGGCCCCGTGCTGGGTGCGCGCCCCCAGGACCTGGGAGGGGGAGGGGCGCGGTAAAGAGGGTGCAAGTTGCACTGGAACGGGAGTCGGTATTGCATTGGACAGGGAGGGAGGAGCAATAGTGTGCTGACCATGGGCATTGGTGATGGCACCGGAAAAAGTGCTCATGATGGGAAAGGGGAGGTGACTTTAACAGGTTTAGTGGTTGGACACGCGCCCCCAAACTCCCGGAAATCTGACCCTCCTCTTCCCCAGGCCCCATGGTCTATGCCATCTGTTACTGCCCCCTGTCCCGTCTGACAGATCTGGAAGCTCTGAAAGTGGCAGGTGAGCTCGAAGTGTGCGTCTGGGGACGGGGTGCCTAAGTATGAGAAATGGAAGGGAAGAGCAGGAACTGAGAGAACCAGCTGTCCCCCTTTTTCTCCAACCCTCCTCCCAGACTCAAAGACCCTGTCGGAGAAAGAGCGGGACAGGCTCTTTGCGAAAATGGAGGAGGACGGGGACTTTGTGGGCTGGGCTCTGGACGTGCTGTCTCCAAACCTCATCTCTACCAGCATGCTTGGGCGGTGAGGGGTGCCCAGAGGGGCCCGGGTGGAAGGGCAGCCACCGTGGACTAGCTGGGCTCTGTGGCTGGAGTGGGGTTAACTGAGCTTTCTTCCCCACTTCAGGGTAAAATACAACCTGAACTCTCTGTCCCATGATACAGCTGCAGGGCTGATACAGTATGCATTGGACCAGAAAGTGAATGTCACCCAGGTGAGCTAACTGTTGGGTTGCCTCTTGATAAAATGGGGGTGAAAACGTGCAGTGGGGGCTCAGTAGTAGAAGGTGTGCTTAGCATGCTCAAGAGCCTCAAAATAAGAATAAGAGTAAAATTTAGCCAAGCATCCTGGCTCACTTCTGTAATCCTAGCTACTCAGAGGGCTGACATCAGAAGGATTGAGTTTGGGGCCAGACCTGGCAAACAGTTATCTGACCCCATCTCAGCCAATAAAAAGCTGGGCATTACAGAGCAAGGGTGGCTCATGCCTGTAATCCTAGCTACTCGGGAGGCAGAAATTAGGAAAATCGAGGTTCAAACCCAGCCCTGGCAGATAGTTCGAGAGACCCTATCTCAAAAAACCCTTCACACAAAAGGGCTGGTGAGTGGCTCAAAGTGTAGGCTCTGAGTTCAAACCCCAGTACCACAAAAAAAAAAAAAAAAAAAAGCTGGGCATGGTGGTGCTTTCCTGTCAGCTACATGTGAAGTATAAATAGGCCATGTCAGGACCCCATTCAAAAAATAACAAAAGGAAAAAGAACTCAGTGGTCAGAGCACTTGAGGCCCTGAGTTCAAACCCCAGTACTTAAGAAATAAATAAGTAAAGTTGCTTCCTGAAAAAGAGTGTGGTCTGCAGATTTAACAATAGATAACATGAGGATTTTGGAGGCAGAGACTCATTATGTAACCTAGGCTGGCCTTGAAAATATCTTCCTGCCTCACCCTCTCAAGGGCTGAGATTACAACTGTGGGCTACCAAGTCCAAATTCCATATCCTTATCCTAAAGGCCCAGAAATCCCTGAAGGTCCCATATATATCCCACCTGTGTCCACTTCCCCATATCCTCTGACCTAACCCAGGGCCTCTGTCCCAACCTGGAATCCTGCCCAACTTCTTCCATGGTTGCCCCCAACTCCAGCCCCCTCCCCTTCAGCCTGCTTCCCATGAAGCAGATGGTCTTTGTGAAATGTAAATCTTGACATTTAATTCTATGATCACACTGCAAATTAAGTTGGGAAAATTCACAGTCAAGTGGGGGGAGAATTAAATTAAGTGATGAGAAAAAAACATAAATCGACACTGCATCAGTCACTCTGAGGCATGGGATGGGCTGAGTTGAAAGGATTACGAGGGACATAAACTAGAGATACAAATTCGGCAGGCAGGCCTCGCTAAGGAGGTGACCAAAGCCCAGGTCCCAGTTGCAGAACTGACAGGTGATGGATGCAGAACTGGAGTAGACAGACAAAGTCTCTGCCATTGGGCTCAGATGGGTATGGAGGTAATAGCCCCCATCAACTCCTTAGTGTCACTTCTGATGCCTCAGCCAGGGGCCCCCCTACTGCTGTCAGCATCCTCTATGTGATGATGGGCCTTTGCTCTGGCTGTTCTTGAAGTACATTCTTATTTTTTGGTGGGACCAGGGTTTGAACTCAGGGCTTTGCACTTGCAAAGCAGACACTCTACTGCTTGAGCCACACTTCCAGTCCATTTTGCTCTCATTATTTGGGAGATGGGGTCTCTCAAACTATTTGCCAGAGTTGGTCTCAAACTTTGATCCTCCCAATCTCAGCCTACCAAGTAGCTAGGATTACAGAGCCACTGGCACTTGGCCGTTGTTTTTTAAAGAGAGTCTTCCTATATAGCCCAGGGTGGCCTGGAACTTGAGATCCTTCTATCTCAGCTTCCCGAGAGCTGGGATTATAGCTGTACACCACCATACATGCCTTAAGGCAGAGATTTTTGTCTAGGGTGTTTGTTACCACATCCTGGGAACCTAGACATGGAATAGGTATTCATACGTATGCAGTGGATGCCACATGATCAGGGATCACAGAAAGCCTTTTTTTAATTAATTAACTTATTTATTTGCAGTGCTAGGGCTGGAACCCAGGGTTTTCCTAAATGTTCTGCAGATATTCTACCACTGAGCATGTTATGCTCCAACCCTGATAAAATGCATTTTACAAAAGCAAGACCAGGGCTGGGAACATAGTTCGGTGGTAGAGTGGTTGGTTAGCATGTGCAAGGACGGTTTCCATCTGGGTAGTGGGAACACCAAGTGCAGCGGCCGGAAGGTTGGATCCTTTACTCTTTGCACAGTTCTTTTTCCAGCTGTTTGCTAAATGACCACATTTTCATCAACATGGCAGGTATTTGTGGACACTGTGGGGATGCCAGAGGCTTACCAGGCACGGCTACAGCAGCGCTTTCCTGGGATTGAAGTGACGGTCAAGGCCAAAGCAGATGCCCTGTACCCCGTGGTCAGTGCTGCCAGCATCTGTGCCAAGGTCAGACTCCTCCCAGCCATGGCTAACTCCCAGCATCCCCCTGGGCAGGGGGCAGGCAAAACTCCCATGGAGGTAGGTGATTCCAAGTTCCTGTCCTGCCTGCAGGTGACTCGAGACCAGGCTGTGAAGAACTGGAAGTTTCTAGAAAAACTGGAAGACTTGGATCCTGATTATGGCTCTGGCTATCCAATGGTGAGCAGATAGCAATGTGGCCTAGCTCTTGAGCTGCCTGAGTGAGACACTGACTGTGGTAGTAACATGGCTGTGGCCAGGGCCAACCCTGCTGTTGAGGTTTTTGTTTCCTTTGAAATAAGCTCTTGCTGGCCTCAAAGTCAAGATCATGCTGCCTCAGCCTCCAAAGTGCTAGGATTACAGGCATGCACTACCATCCTGACTTCTGAGTTTTTTGTTTGTTTGTTTGTTTGTTTGCAGTACTAGGGTTTGAATCAGGGCCTACATCTTTAGCCACTCCACCAGCCCTTTTTTGTGAAGGGTATTTTCAAGATAGGGTCTCTTGAACTATTTGCTTGGGCAGGCTTTGAACTCGATCTTCCTGATCTCTGACTCTCTGGCCAGCTGCCCTATCATGGCCACATGGCCAGTGAGTGACAGCTAGGTTCCAGCCTGTAGGCTCCCCACTCTTCCCTCTCACTTGTCGGTCTCTCTGGAACCAGAGTGTGGAGGCTGGACCCAAAACGGACATATGTATGTTTGTTAAGGGGAACGTAGGTGGGGAGGGGGGTGTGGTTCAGAGGTAGAGCAATTGGTCAACATGTATGAGGCCCTGCGTTCCATCCCCTCCATCACAAAAATCTCTCCTGAAAGTAGGTGGATTTTTCTTTTTACTTGAAGAAAAACAAGAGAAAAGGATAGGAATGGGGGACACAGACTGGCTGAACCCAGTGGCTTCAGCCATGAGGCTCTCTCTGTTTCTGTAAAATGGGAGTGATCATCTGTACCTTTCCAAACCACAAGGATTGCACACAAGGACTGATTTCAAGATTTGGTGGACTAGGATTTGGGATGTAGTTCAGTGGTAGAATGCCTTCCTAGCATGTGGAAAGTCCTAGGTTCCATCCCCAGCACTGCCAAAAGAAAAGTGAAGGCAGGCATCAGGGTACACACTTGTAATCCCAGCACTTGAGAGGCTGAGGCAGAAGGATCAAACGTTTTAGGCTGGCCTGGGCTACATAGGGAGATCCTGTCTATAAATAAGCAAATAGATGCATAGGTAAATAATAAGAAAAAAAGCCCAGCATGGTGGCTGGGCTACTCCCAGCTACTTAGGAGGAATAGGTAGGAGGATCCTGGTCCAAGATAAGCCCTGGGCAAAAAGGCAAGACCCTATCTGGAAAATAAGTAAGACAAAAAAGTACTGGGGGCTGGGTGCCAGTGGTTCACGTCAGTAATCCAGGCTATTTGGGAGACAGATCGAGAGGATCAAGGTTCGAGGTTAACCCAGGCAAATACTTCAAGAGACTCCATCTCCAAAACAACCAGAGCAAAATATGGCTCAAGTGGTAGAGTTCCTGTTTTGCTAGTGTGAAGTCCTAAGTTCAAACCCCAGTCCCACCAAAAAGAAAAAAAAAAGGACTGGGGGTGTGGCTGAAGTAGTTAAAGCGTCTGCCTGGCAAGCATTAGGCCTTAAGTTCAAACTCCAGTACCATGAGAAAAAAAAAAAAAAGGATAAAGGTTCAAGGAATCTTCTGTAACTTCTGAGGCTCAGGGTGGGGCTGGCAGTTGGGTGGGGCAACCAAGCAGCAAGGGTATGATTAGAACTCAGGTGAGGCCAAAGACAATTTGCATGTCAGGCAGTGTTTACTGCGTGCCTAGCATATGCCATACAGGGCTGAGCCCTGGGATACAGCAGTGAACGAGACAAACAAGGACCTCACTGTTCCTACGGAGCTTGTGACTGTGGGGAGGATGGGTATTAACCTGATGTCAGCAAATGCTGCTTTTGTTTATGTTGTCTTTGAGGGTCAGGGAGATGTCTCAGAGGCAACCTCCCCACACTGCACTGCAGGGCCACTGGCAAGGCACACAGGGTGGGAGGGAATGACCTGCCTGTGCAAAGGGCCTGGGACAGAAAGATACTCAGGAGGAAGGCAAATACGAGTGTGAGAAGTTTGGGCGGTACCTCCAGGCTCAAGGGGCTATCACTATTGCCCATCCCCCTAACCCCACAGATCCCAAGACAAAGGCATGGCTGAGGAAACATGTGGAGCCAGTGTTCGGCTTCCCCCAGTTTGTCCGATTCAGTTGGAGCACGGCCCAGACCATTCTGGAGGAGGAAGCTGAAGATGTTACATGGTGGGTATCTGAGGGTGTTATAGGGAAGGAGGGAAGAAAGAAAGGAGGCCAGGGCTCAGCCCAGCCTGGGCAGACCACTGTCCACACCAGAAGTTGCCATTGTCACTCCTCCCTCCTACAGGGAGGACTCAGCCACTGAGGAACAGGAGGGACCTGGGAGGATCACGTCCTACTTCTTCCATGAGGGTGCCCGGGCCCGCCCACGTGTTCCCCACCGCTACTTCCAGGAGCGAGGCCTGGAGGCAGCCACCACCCTCTAGGAGCTTGGACTCTCAGCCTCCTGCCTTACCTGCCTCCCCTCAAACAGTGATTAAAGGTGCTGACGCTAAGCAAGCGGAGGAGTTGTACGTTGTGGCACTGGTGGGGCGGGAGTGTGCTGAGCAGCTGGATACAGCTGTGTTTTTTAGAATTTAAACAGAATGGGCATTTTCTGGGCTGGGGGTGCAGTCCAGTGGTAGAGCCCTTGCTCCAGCACCACAAAAGAAAAATTGGGTCACATGCTCAAAGTTGTAAGTGATAGAACAAGGTTGTGAACCCAGATGGACACGGTACACAGTCAAGGTCATTCCTCTCCATCTCCTTTTGAACTCAGGGCATCACATATGCATGTGCTCTCTTCCCTGAGCCACACCTCTGGTCCATTTTACTCTGGTTATTTTGGAGATGGGATATCGAGAACTATTTGCTAGGCAAGACTTCGAACTTCACTCCTCCCAATCTCAACCTCCCAAGTAACTAGGATTACAGTTGTGAGCCACAAGTGGCTACCAGTTTTTATGTTTTGACTTCCTACCTAGCATTCCTTCCCCCTCTCCTGGGTCCGGTGCCTGATTGTCTTTTGGGGAGAGCCACCCCGCCCCCATTGTCAGTCCATATGATCCATATAGAACTCACTCCACCATGAGCCTTCGGGTATCAGGCCATAACCAAGATCAAGACAGTAAGAACACAGCATCCCCTGGACCCAGTGATGGTTTGGTGATGGGCTTATGATCCTAGATGAGTGACAGCCAGCCCTGGAAACTTTTGCCGGTTTTACAGAGGAACAAGCACATTCAGGCCACTGGAATCATGAAGGTGCTGCTCCGTGGGTGAGGAGATCCTATCCAATGTCTAGCGTGAAAAAGATGCAGAGAGGTTTCTAACATCATTTAAGCATTCCTGAACCCTATCACTATTCTGGCTTAAACACACTGAGCTTGGTTTGTCTCTCACAGCTGAAAGAAGCCTGCTTGTTACTCCCCTAGTGCGGCTCTTTCTTTTTATGCTGTTCTTGTCTTCCCTGAAGACAGGGAACAGGTCTAGCCTATCTTTGTGGAGCACAGGAGGCTTTGTGGAGCAAGGCATTAACCTTGCTGTGTTGAACAAAATCATACAAGGGACATTGCTTCCCTACAGGTAAGGAAACTGAGCTCTCCTAGGTTCTGAGGATACAGGAGGAGGATCACGAGTAATGCTCATAGCTAGGTATGGTAGCTCATGTCTGGAATCCCAGCACTTGGGAGATTGTGACACGAGGATTGCAAGTTTGAGATCAGCCTGATCTACATAGCAAGATTTTTTTGTCTCAAAAAGGAAAAAGTAGTGTTCACAAATTTGAAAATTTGAGCCTGTGTACATTCCTTTGCCTTAGGCCTAGAGCTGGGATATGGGAGAAGGGAGGAAAGAGGGAGGCCAGAGTGGTGGTTCATGCCTGTAATCCCGGCTACTCAGAAGACAGAGGTAGGAGGACCATGGTTCCAGGCTAGCCCAGACAAAAAGCAACATACTCTAACTGATAACCTAAAGCAAAAAGGACTGGAGGTGTGGCTCAAGTGGTAGAATGCAGGTAAAAGGCCCTGAGTTCAAGCCCCAATACTGCCAAAAAGGATCTTGCTCAGAAAAGAAAGCAAATCTACAAGTCTGTCAAGTTCTATACAAGTTAGGGAGTTTCTTTGCAGGCCTGGCAGCACGAAGAGATACACGTCTGCCTTTGTGGGCCCCCCTTCAACCTTCTGTTACCTATCACTGACAACTGGGTATTTGAGTTGTAACTAACGCTCCCAGATATAGACCATCATTTACACTCTAGTGTGAATCAGTTGCTGTCTCTAAGGTCTGAGAATTAGAAGTGAGACATCTATCACTTTTTGGCAATTCTTCCCAACTATTTCCCCCAGGAAACAGCCACATCACATGCTTCATCCTGCAACTTTATTCAGTGGGGAGAGAAAAATAAGAGTTGGGTCGTTTCTCAGATACCCTGGAGAGACACCCTTCACGGGGTCCCCGAATTGGAGGGCCAGGACTGGAAACTAGCTAGCAGAGAGGAATAGGTAGAGGTAGGTCTCTGGGTATCTTGAGGGCCGGGCCCAGGGAAGTGACTTTCATTTAATGCCTGGCGCCCGCTAGGGGCCGCTGCCGCTTCCACTGCCACTCCCGCTGCCCGCGGTGTCCATGATGGAGGCGCGAGGGTTGCGGAAGCGCCGGGAGCGTGGTGGTTCCCAGACCTGTCGCCTGGGTCTGGGACGTGGCAGCACCGAGATGGAGATGTTGAGGCAATGACGGGAGCCCGGAGCTGCCACCTGCAGGGTGTGACCCAGAACCGAGTGACAAAGGTCCATCCCATCTGCGAAGTTCTAGGAGAAAGGGTAGAGTTAGTTTTTAGTGGGCGGAGTCCTGATACTCTGGGGGGCGGGGCGTTCATTTGAGGGTGGGGCCAGGGAGTTATGGGCGGGGCCAGTGTAGGGACAGGGTCTTGGGGAGGGCGACTGGGTCTCCAGATACACGTGGACTGGCCCAGAGCAGATACTGACCCTTGGGTCTACAATCTGGACTCAAAAGGGCACTTTGGAGTCCATGCCAGCAACGAGGTTAGACCAGGACGGGAGAAAGGTGGAGCAGGGACCTTGGGAATGCCAGTCCCAACTCCAAGGTCTCGAACAGTAAGACAGAACATCAGCAACAGGCGTGGTGGCGCCTGCATGTAATCCCAGGGCTCCGAAGGCTGGGACAGGAGGATCGCGAGTTGCAGGGCAGCCTGGAAAAGATAGCAGTCTCCTCTCGCCCTCTGCCCCTCACTTACCTGCCCGTAGGTGCCGCAGCTGGGCTCGCAGCCCCTCTTCTCTGAGGGCGGCAGCCAGGTTGGGCCGCAGGTGAGATCAGCTTCGCAGGTGGTGAACCTGGGGATGATGTGTGGAAAATGGGTCAAGCCATGGCAGCCTGGTTTTGGTGGGATTTCTGCTCCTCAAGCCTCCGCCCAATGTATACCCTGCCCTCAGATCCAGGCCCCGCCTGTAAGGGCCACACCGCTACAAACCTCAATCCTCCAGATTTCACCTCTCCCTTTTAATTTATTTATTTTGTGCTACTGGGTCTTGAAATCAGGGCCTACACCTTGAGTCACTCCACCAGCCCTTTCTGTGATGGGTTTTTTCAAGATAGGGTCTCGCAAACTATTTGCCTGGGCTGGCTTCGAACCTCAATTCTCCTTATCTCTGCCTCCAGAGTAGCTAATATTTACAGGCGTGAGCCACCGGCGCTTGGTTTCAACTCTCCCTTTTAAAACCAGTTAAATAGCCTTAAAAAAAATAATGAGGATTGAACCCAAGGCCTTGTGTATGCTAAGCAGGCTGTCACTGAGCGAGGCCCCATCTTCCTCCTACCCGAGGCATGTCACAGCCGGTTTCATCTCTGCAGACCTGAGAGTACCTGTTTTAGGCCAGTCCTTGACATTCCCCACTATTTCAGCTTCTCTTTTCAATCAAGAAAAACTCCAGCCACGTCCCAACTCAAAAGCCGGCGGCTCCACAGGCTTTGCCCTTTGCATCCCTGCCTGAAAACCCTAGGACTTATTCCTTAGACCTTGGTCCCTTCGGAGGCAGGCCACGCCTTTCAAGCCCAAGGCCAACTGAGCCGCAGACTCCGCCCACCGCAGGCCACGCCCCCGTGCCCCGCCTCTCCTACCAGGCCTGGCAGAGCTCCGCGCAGAGCGGTTGCCCTTGTCGTACCCCCAACAGCAGCAGGCGAAAGCGATTGCGGAGGGCGCGTTGGAGGTGTCCCAGGAAGGACTCACATCTGGACATAGGGAGAGACAGGGCGAGATGGGTCAGGATCTGCAGAAGCCAGGAGTGTCTGGCTCCAGGCCAGGGTAACTGGGGCAAAGTATAGGAGAAAAATAGGGTGTGCTGTACTTACCCTGGGCTCGGCGCCCCACAGCTCTCTGGAAGGATCCCAGGGCCCAATGCATCTGGCATATTTATCTCTGCGTGACAACAAGGTTCTGGCTTTGGGGACGCCCGTGAGCCAGAGTCTTGTATCCTCAGATAAGGTTGGGGAACTGAGGCCTGATTGTCCCCTGAGCAACGAAGAACAGTTAGTTTCAGCAGTCTTCCCAGACATGAAACCTGCAGACAGTAATTCCAGCTCGGGCCACCCTACTCTTTTTCAGTAAATTGCTCATAACATGAAGATCTCCTCACTATCCCATTGTGGGGTAGAAATCCATGTGAGTGGGAGGAAAGCACCCGTTAACTTTTTTTTTTTTTTAAAGAATGGAGATGTCTGGGAGGGACATGCACACAATATAAACCTGACAAAATGTGTTACAGCAGTAGCATAAAGCAGCCATCGGGAATCCCTATGTTGGAGAGGAGGGAGTCTGGCTGCAGCTTCAGCCACAGAAGGGGATGGCAGGGACTGTGGAGGACAGAGCAGAAGCTCGTTTTGGCTATCGTACCTGTGTGTGTGTGTGTAAAAAAAAAGTCAATGATCACTTTTTGTATTTAAATATTAAAAAATGATTCCAACTCAAAAAAAAATAATGAAGGCAAAGACAGTGGAAAAAGGTCAGAAAACCCTATTTCTTTTCTTTTTTTTTGATGGTACTGGGGTTTGAATTCAGGGCTTTGGCTTTGTGCTTGCTAGGCACACACCCTGCTACCTGAGCCATGCCTCCAGCTCAAGACCCTTTTCAACAAATAAGTCAGGTATGGTGGTGCATACCTGTAACCCCAGCTAAACAGGAGGCAGAGATAGGAGGATCACAGTCTGTGCCGGTCTAGACAAAAACACAAGATCCTATCTAAAAAAAAACACTACAAGCCATGTGGTGGAGTAACTCAAGTGGCAGAGCACTTGCCTAGAAAGTATGAGGCACTGAGTTCAAACCCCAGTACTGCCAAAAAAAGGTAGCTGGATGCTGGTGGCTCACACCTGTAATCTTAGCTCAGGAGGCAGAGATCAGGAGGATCGTGGCTCAAAGACAGCCCAGGCAAAAAGTTCTGAGAGACCCTATCTCAATAAAAGGGCTGGTGGAGTGGCTTAAGGTGTAGGCCCTGAGTTCAAACCCCAATACAGCAAAAAAAAAAAAAAAAGATAAAAGAAAGGATGATATGTAAATGGAAATAGAACTAATTAAATTATCATCCTTTTTTTAAAAAAAGAAAAAACACCACAAGCAAAAAGACTAGGGGCATGGCTCAAGTGGTAGGGCTCCTGCCTAACAAGTGTGAGTCCCTGAGTTCAAGCCTCAGTGTCTCAAAAACAGACAAAAAAAAGAAAGAAAATGAAGTGGTTATATGCTTTAATCTTCACAATACCTGTATGAGATAAGTTTATTATGCCCCTCCCCCCTATCAGTAGTCCACATGAGACCCAGAAAAGTTGTCCAGGGTCACAGAGCTCCAAAATGATAGATCTGGGATTTGAACCCAGGCAGTCTGAGAGCCAGAGTCTATGTTGTTAATCACCACTCCTCAGCACCTGCTGAGGGGCTGCCCACACTCTCAGCCACCTAGGTCTCTCTCAGAAGGCAATGTGCAATTTTGTATCAGCAGGTTCCTGGGTATGGGGGATTAGGCAGGGTCTGGGGTGCTCACCTGCCAGGTGCAGCTGGCTTATACCCAGATTGGCAGCCAGCTTGTGATGTCCCCAGGACCTAGCTTGGAGTGGGTGGCTCCCTCCATAGACCCCCAGCAGGATGAATGCCAGGGTGAGTCGCAGGGCTGTGGCCAGGGCACTGGGTTGAATGTGGCCTCTGCCGGCCATGTCCACCTGAGATAAGAGCCAGGTGAGGGGAGGTTTGGCTGTCTAGTTCTGGAAGCTTAGGGTGGTCCCCCTTTGGATACACACCAGAAACAGTGCCAGGCAGCATAGAGGAGCACCAGCTGATGAAGACACCAGGCAATGACCAAAGAGGACCTACAAATCCCAGGGGACCCTCATGGTGTTTAAGGCCTGCCTCTCCCAGGAGCCTCTCCTGCTAGGCCCATGTTCCTTTCATGCATTCTAGACCAGGTGACACCCCTCCCCATCTGAAACCACGTACTCCACAGTCCTCCCACCCTGTTGGTCTTCAGTCACGCCCTCCCTCAGTCCCCAAGGACCAGCCTTGTTCTTCCAATCCCCTCTCCTGTCCTGTTATTCCTCTCTCTTCCATCCAGCCTTCTCCCTCCCTCTCGCTGGCCCCTCTCACGGTCACCTTCTCTTGGCTCACAATCGGCTTAGGGACTGCCACCCAGGGCTGGGCCTTTGGGACCAAGCTTGGTATGGCAGGGCTGGGGTTCAGCTGCTGGGATCCAAAAACTCCCAGACAGGGAAAGCTTAGGGTGTATGACCCAAGTCGAGCCCCGTGATAGGGCGCCTACCTAGCAAGTGCTAAGCAATCTGCCCCCTGCCCCTCACCTGTTAGCTGGGTGCAGTCTAGGAGCTGTTCATACACTAGGATCTCATCCCGGAAACAGTGACAGCTGAAAGGGGCGTGGCTTGATTAGGGGCGGGGGTTTATATAGTCCCGCCCCTCCTGCTGACCAAAAGCCAGGACCCTTGAGGCTGGTGTGTGTGTATCTCCACCTGCTTTCCGCTAAGTTGAATTTGTGATTTAAGTTATGTACATGTTTGGGGAGTCCGTGTGTGATGAGGAGGTGTTTGTGTGGACTGTGCGTGTTCATTCACCCCTGTATGTGTGCGTGTGTGGTGTGAGTGTATGTTTTATGTGTGTCGGGTGGTGTGTGTGCGTGTGTATGTGTGTTAGATGAAAATTGGTGTGCACTGGGCATTCTTTGTTTTGGAATTCTGTGGGTGTGTGTGTGTTTGTGTGTGTCACGTGTATGTTTACACTTGATGATTGTGTGTATATCTGTGTTTCCTTTTTTTTTTTCAGTGCTAAAGATCAAACCCCAGAGTATTGCACATGCTGTAGTACTTAGGTATACCTCCCTGTCCTCCTGTCTTCTGTGTGTCCTAATTATGTGATATTCATATGCTTGCAGAGTGTGAGTTTATATGTACACATGTTTACGTATGTGTGTCTGTGTTTGCCAAATTTGTGTTTCTATGTGTGTGCTTTGGCAGAATATGTTGGTCCACATCTGAGGATACACACGGAGAGCATGTGTCTATATTGTTGTGTATCTGTGTCTGCTGAGTATGTGTTTGTAGGTGTGTGTGCTTGTGAGTATGCTTATGTGTATCTATATTTGCTGAACACATTTGCAGTGTGTGCAGATGTATCTGTGTGTCTTTGTGTGTAGCTCTGCTTACGTTTGTGTTTATGTGTATGTTTGCAGAGTGTGTATGTGTTTGTAGTGTGTGCAAGTGCTTCTAGAGTGTGCACATGTTTTTGTGTGCACTGACTACCATCCATCACAAATCTGTCTCCTCCTCTCAGGGTGAAACAAGTTTTGTAATTTACTTTTTTTTTTTTTTTTTGTGGTGCTGGGGTTTGAACTCAAGGCCTACACTTTGAGACACTCCACCAGCACTTTTTTGTGAAAGGTTTTTTCAAGACAGGGTCTCGTGAACTATTTGCCCGGTTTGGCTTTGAACCGAGATCCTCCTGATCTCTGCCTCCTAAGTAGATAGGATTACAGGCATGAGCCACCAGTGCCCGGCTGTAATTTACTTATTTATTTATTTTGCAGTACTGGGGTTTGAACTCAGGGCCTTGTGCTTTCTAGGCAGGTGCCCTACCACTTGAGCCACACCACAGCCCAGGCAGGGTTTTTTTGTCTGTCTCTTTCACTACTGTGCCCCCAGATCCCCAAACACTTTCTTGCACACAGTAGGTGCAAGACTGGTAGATACAGTCTCTGCATCCCTGTGGCCACCAGTGTCATCCTGGAGAATTCAGCAAGCAGGGCCTAGAGGACCTAGCCTCCCCCGGGTCCATCCTGAGATGCACCAGGGTACTGGTGGGTTAGTCCCATCCAGTCTCTCTCTGGGACAGTCTTCCCGCCAGCACCTCTTCCTCAGCCCTTCACCCTGCGTTCGAATTTCAGCACCACGGAGAGCTCCCGCGGCCGCCGACGCGAGCAAAGTCCAGGCGGTGGACAGAGGTGAAAGCCAGCAACTGACTCAGTGACACGGCCACACAACATAGCGACAAACAGAGACAAAGAGACACAAACAGCGATAGCACAGGCAAAAAGCAGAGATGAGGAGACCAGCTTTCCCGGAACGTCCAGACCCATACCTCGCGTTCGACCCCCAGCAGGGGTCGCTCTCGCCCAGTGACCGCACCCTCCAGGAACTTGGGACCAGCTGTAGTCTGCAAGCCACCCTTGGGAAGCCCTTCCCCACTCTATTCCCAGTGCCAACACTTGGGGTGGAGAGGGCTGGGACCCTCTCCTCTCCAACTCCAGGGTCGGTTTGGCCAGTGTGGACACTGGGGAGCAGGGGTGAATTTTGTTTCAGCTGTCCCCCTTCCCCAGCTCCCAACTAATCGCTCCTATAAATATAGCCCGACCTGGCCTGGCTCCTTAATCCTGACTACTGGGAGGGAGACGTCGCTAGAGAGGCTGCAGGGTTCTCTGAGGATAGGTTTTGCTTTGGATGGAAGAGAAGGGGCGTACATGTGTTTCTGAGGAGAGCATCTCCTGTGAAGATGGGTCTCCCCTGTGAAACGTGACTATAAGTCATGTTGGATGGGGACAATTTGGCTTCTCATGGGTTTCTCAGTGGGGATATCCTCCCCAGGGTCTCCACATGATGTCAATCATAGGATATTTCCCCGCGGAAATGCCCCTCTGGGGGTGGGGGGTGAATTGAGATGAAGCATCACTTCTGAGATCATCTCTCTTAGGAATCTTTTCAGGGTGGGTGACAGCTGTTGATTGGAGAGGGCACCCGTGTAAAACTAATTCCCCATGGGGATGTCGCATAGAGACTATGTCTCCCTTGGGTTGGGGGTCGACGCATGAGAATGTCTCTCCCCTAGGGTGTCTCTCTTTTAGGGTCTCTGGTAGCATTCTTCCCTAGGGGGCATCTGTAGGTTCCACCCTCCACCCCCGCCTCTTCCTCCCCTCCCCCCGCCCCCCGCCCCCAACGCGAGCAGTGGTCGCCGAGGCCAAGCTCAGGCGCCCAGACGCAGTGACGGTGGCGGGCCCGCCCCACTTCGCTCCGCCCCCACCACCTCCCCCCCACCCCAAGCTGCCGCCGCCGCCGCCGCCGCGGTCCCCGCGGCTTCTCCCTCCCTCCCTCCTCCCTCCTCCCGCCGCCTCCCTCCTCCCTCCCCGGGGCCGAAGTCGCCGCCGCTGCCACCGCCGCCGCCGCCATGGACGATTCGGGCCTGATCCGCCGCCGGAGGCTGCAGGTACATGGCCGCTTGGGCCCCGGGTGGAGGGGAAGGGGTCGGCGCCCTGGGGCGGGGTCAGGCAGGAGGCGGGAGAACTTGCGCCAGGGTCGGCAGGGGCGCCCCTTCCCTCGGCTACGGGATGCTACCCGCGGGAACGCGGTGGCCGCGCGTTGTCGCGCTGGGGACCCCGCCCCTCAGGCGTTGCCCGGAGATCTAGGTTGCTGATGGAGGGGGTCCAGCTCCGTGCTCCCCCTCGAGGATAGTCTAAGGGGCTCCTGGGCAGCCGAGGGAGAGGGGGCTGAGGGCGAAGTCACTGCCTTGGCGCCTCGCCAGTCTGGGGGTGAGGAGATGCAGAGCAAAGTTATTGCTCCCGGGCTCGCGCCCCTCTGGGCCACCGGAGCCACAGCAGCCGTAAACACGTTTGTGCGGGAGCCTCGCCCCTCATCACCCCAAGAGTCCTTTTCTAGGCATGGGATCCCTGTGTCCTCCATGTACCTGCCCCGGCCACCAGGATTCTTCCCATTGCCCTAATTGGACAGGTCCTCCCCACTCTTCATTTCACCCCCTTCCACTACAACACTCCCACCCCCTCCGCCGCCCGCAGTCCTCAAGTCCAGCCCAGCTTGTAGGTGGGTGGGAGCGATTTTTAGTTCCTTGCAGCCTGAGAAGATGCTGGTGGCCAGGCTGCGCAGGCGCAGGAGATGTGGGTCCACTGCACGGAGTGGGACAGTGAGGGTTGTGGTGGAGTGAAGGGAAGGCGGGGACAAATCCAGACGTCAGGAGCTCCCACCTCCAAGGTGGGTGGGGATTCTGAACTGAGAAGAGTCCTCTGCCATGGTCTTTGGCTTGAGCTACTGAGGAGTTAATACAGAGGTCTGGTGTGCCATGATCCCTAAATTAGTCCCAGAGGGGAAAATGATCAATGCTTCGCCTGAAAGCCTGTCTGGACTCTGGCCCTTCTGCACCTCCTTGGAGATCAGTCTGTGCTTAGTATTGTGGAGTTTTTTAAGCCAAGAATAGATCTCCAGGCTGGGGATGGAGACTCAAGCTACATCCCCAGCCTGGAGCTTGGTAGAAGACGACGATTCAAGCCCTTACCTGAGGAGCTTGTCCATCTCTAGGGTCCCCTAATCCACCATTGTTAAGGCCAGAGACTAAGGGAAGCTGATCCGTCAGTGCAGCAGAAAAGACTGAAGTTCAGACGACAGGAAGGACTTCCCAGGGGTCTGGATGCTTCTGGAGCCAGAACGTGTTGGAAAGCTAATTTGCTTTCAAACAGAGCCCAGATGGCCCAATCTCCATGGCCCAGGCCTCTCTGAAGTCCCCAAAAGGAGGGAGCGGCGATAAAGCCAAAGCCAAAGCTGCAACAAGCGGCCCGGGTCCGCTCCATGGGGTCCACAGAAAATGGGCGGAAAGGGGCTGGATCGTAAAGAGGTGTGGCCCCGCCCTCCGAGACTCCCATTGGCTCAGTCCCACGTGGAACTTCGCTTTCCCGCGCAAGACCCCGCCCCCAACCCAGCACCCTACCACTCTCTCACCCACCCAACCTGGGACATGCACTTGGCCGGGAGAACCCCGCAGGAGTACTGCTCCATGGGTACACTCACACGCACTGGCTCACCCCTTTAGGAAATGTCCCACCATCGCTGAGGGCCAGGAGGTCCCCTGTGTGCAACGGGGATCAGATATAAAAAAGCTTTCAGAGCCTGAATGTCCTGTCCGCAGCGCCATCCATTCATTCAGAGCGGCTCTGCAGCTGGGGTTGGAGGTGGCGTCTGTCTACACTGACGTCTAAACTTCTGCAGTTCTGGTTTGTCCCTTTCTTCTACTCTAGAATTTTTGGGGATGCTAGCGAATGAAGCTTGATTAGGGGAAAGCTCCCTCTAGGGCTTTCCTCCCAAGGTCAAGTTACAAGGATCTGGGAGCTTTGGGCTCCGTGACCGGAAAATCCAGGTCGTGATTTCACCCAAGCCATTGCGGGACACACTGCCTAGTCCAAGGGTCCAAGTCAGGACTCCTTCGTGCCAATTCTGCAAAGAGAAAGGGAAAACCTGGTCTGGATTTCTGGTCACTCCTGGCTCCGGAGGGCAATGCTGCCCTTTGACACCCCCCCACCCCTACCTCTGTCCTTTGTACACAGAAGTGGGATGACTCTCCAGGCCATCTATCATGCAGTGTGTCTACCCATAATAACACCTGTTCTTATGACTTAATATTTATTGAGTACCTACTATATGCTGGCACCATGCTAACACATGGGGCATTTTGGAAGGTCATTTGTCAAGCTCATAAAAGGCAAAGTTGAGGGAGTTTTTGAGACAGGGTCTCACTTATGTAGTCCAGGCTAGCTCAAACTCTCAATTCTCCTGCTTCAATTGCTGGAACGCCAGGATTATAAGTGGGAACCACTACACCCAGCTATAACTAATATTTTGAATCTAGGCTTTCTGCTTCCAGAAGTCTTAGAAAGAATCTAGGACAGAAGAGGCACCAGTGGCTCATGCCTATAATCCTAGCTACTCAGAAGGCAACAATCAGGAGGACTGTGGTTCATAGTCAGCCTGGGGAATTAACTCCAGAGAATTTATCTCAAAAACATCCAACACAGAAAAGGGCTGGTGGAGTGGTGCAAGTGATAGAGTGCCAGTATAGTAAGTGTGAGACCCTGAGTTCAAACCCCAGTGTGCCAAAAAAAGAAAAGAATCTGGGACATACTTCATTTTCCCTGGTTGGAGTCCCTCAAAAGACGTTCAGAACTGTTGCCCAAATCTTTCCTCTTGCAGTCCTTTGCCACCCTCTCTGCTCCATCTCAGCCTTTGGACAGAGAACTGTCTGTCAGGTGGTGTCCCTGTCCCCATTGCTCTTCTTGGAAATGTGCTGAGCTCCTGTAACTTCTGATCTCTGCAGTGATTTTCTGAGTGTTTGACAAACAGAACAAGATGTCCTTCCAATGTGGACACATAACTAGCCAGCAATAATGATCATAGTCATTATCGAAAAAGACCACTAGGCCACCACAGGGCTCCCTTTTCAAATCTGCCTAGAGCCTCCCTAATTGTCATCTCCAACACTGAGAATCTGGCCAGGAATGGGTCTGTTATTCATTTATTTGTACCTTCCTGCTTAAGCATGCTAAGCTCAGTCCTACCCCTATGCCTCTGCCCTTACAATTCCCTCTAGAAAATTCCCTCTAGAATGCTCTCTCCATTGATCCTCCCATGGCTGGCTTTTATCTTTCGGCAATCAACTTAAAACCCATCTTCCCAGCTGAGTACCAGCAACTCAGGCCTGTAATCCTAGCTGCTTGGAAGGATGAGATCAGGAAGATCACGGTTTGAGGCCAGCCTGGGCAAATAGTTCTCAAGACTTCATCTCCAAAATAACCAGAGCAAAATGGACGGGAGGTGTGGCTCAAGGGGTAGAGAGCCTGCTTTACAAGCAGGAAGCCCTGAGTTCAAATTCCAGTCCTACCAAAAAAAGTCTCTATAGAGACATCCCCTTTGTTCCTCTGTCCCACTTCCAGCCATTGTCCATTATATCATCTTTTTTTTTTCCTGCACTACTGGGGTTTGAACTCAGAGCTTCATGTTTGCTGTGCAGGCACTCTACCACTTGAGCCACTCTGCCAACCCTTTTTTGTGTTGAGTATTTTTGAGATACTGTTTCCCAAACTATTTGCCTCTGCTGACTTTGAATCATGATCCTCCTGATCTCTGCCTCCTGAGTAGCTAGGATTCCAGAAATGAGCCACTGGCACCTGGCACCTGGCTATTTATTTTTGAGATGGGGTCTGGCTTGTTGCCTGGCCTTGAACTCAAGATCCTCCTGCTTCAGCTTCCTGGAATTACAGGCCCCTCTAAATGCTATTCCTCAAAGGGCAGCCTCTTTTGTCTTTTTCACAGCTGTGTCCCTAGTGCCTAGTTAGGACCTGGCATATAGCAGGTGCTGAAGAAATATTTTTCAAACAGTCTTGTTTCACTGCACAAATATCCAACTGATGAGTTATGGGGCCCTTCTGAGTACTTGACCCTGTGCTGGTACTTGGGGGTCAGGAGAGGAACCACCCTCTTCCCCAAGGAGCCTGCCCTCATTGTATGGCCAAGGGTGAAGGTGACCATGCTGATGACTGACCCACATGGCTTCTGCTCCTCTGGGGAGCTGGGTGGCCTTGCGGGCAGCAGCCACAGGTCCACGCTGACCTCCAGTCTTTTGCTCCTTTCCCTTCCAGAAGGATTTGCCCCTGCCCCGGAAAAGCAGCAGGTGAGCCTTGGGAAGAGATGCTCGGGGTTGGCAGCCCCTTCTGTGGCTAGCGCGCGGGCGGGGCCTGGCGCGGCGACACCCAGTAGCGCCCCCTCCCGACCGGCCGCAGCCGCTGGTCCTCCCCTCCCCCGCCCTCCCCTGGCCGCTGCGGCTCCAGCCTCCGCCCCGCGCGCTCGCTCCCCGCGCCGCCGCCGCTGCTGCCGCACCTGCCACCATGTCGCCGCCGCCGGGTCATGTCTGACTCTCTCTGGACCGCGCTTTCCAATTTCTCGATGCCCTCCTTCCCCGGCGGCAGTATGTTCCGCCGCACCAAGAGGTAGACGCCCCCCTCCCCGACCCCCCAGACTGTCCCGGCCCTCCCCTTAAAGCCTCCCCTCCGGCTGCTGCCGCAGGGCGGGGCCCGGGATGCTGCTCCCCGTCCAGCTGCGCCAGAGGTGTCCGCGCTGCGCCTCCTCGCCGGGCCGGAGATGGGCTTGAATGGGGGCGTTGTGGGCCGAGGCGGGGGGACTGGGAAGGCTGGAGCTGGAAAGGATGGCCGCAGAGGGGAGGGCGTTGCGCCGGGTGCGGGGTTGCAGCGCCTTTGTCTGCTGGCGCTGCGGGCTCGGGCAGCCTGGAGGGGGTAGAGGAGGAAGGGGAGGGTGGGGGGATTGGCACCCTCAGAACAATAGCCGCAGCCTGGCCTGCCCCCACCCCCATGCCGCGTGCTCTTGGACGCGCTGATATGCTCAGTCACTGCGGCTGAGGGCTAAGGGACTGGAGGGGGTGGGGGGGGTTCCCTCTTCTGGAGTTTGAGATCCTGAGAAACAGAAGAAAAGGGGGTCTTTTATCATAGCAAGACCCCCCCCAATGAACACAGCCGCACACTGAAAATAGTGACACACAGCGTCACCCAGGACATGATGTCACACACACATACACACAACAGCCCCAGTGGCCCAGATACACTGAGAGGCGCCACGCATAGTCAGCCATGCAGCCAGCCATGCAATGGCCACAGGTCACAGGTCAAAGCCATGCACGCACAGGGCCACTCTCGGCATCACACAAACCCACCTAGTAAAATGTCATATGCATGGCGATCCACAAAAAAGATTTTGCTATTCAAGGTGCACCGAGACATGTGTGGCAATGACACATCCCTGCGTGTAGCAATGTCACACACATCTAGGCATGTCATTTGTTATGTCACACTGACACTAGGATAAACAGACACAGGGAATCTCGATCAGAGAGAGAGAGAGAGAGAGAGAGAGAGAGAGAGAGAGAAAACATACAAAAATCACACCTTGTGACACACAGGACCCACCAGGGAATGTCAGATCTGGTTGCATGCTTGGACATGCCCAGTGTCACAGCATGTTAAACTCACACACAGTAGATGCCATGCATGGACATAAATAGTGAATGTCACACAGACATGAGGCCAGTGTGTTGCACACTCAGAATGGTGCATGATGACAGACACCTGTAGAAATAGTCATGCATCATGAACGTGTTACAGCACACAGGCATGGACAAATGACGTTCAATCCTGTGTCAGTTAGACCCACGAAGGCACAAATGCGTCACACATAATGCCCAAACTCAATGCACCCGTGTCACCCAGTGTTGAACTCCTACAGTGGGTGCCACATGAGAATACAAACAGTGAATGTCACGCACAGATCCAAGGACACACAGATTCTATAACTCTCACACCATCACTGACACTATGCTCCACTGGATCACACAAGACCTACACTGGAAGTGTCTCACACACAGGTTACATATGCATCTTCCGCCATGCACACTACTGCGGAAGGCTCCACTGCCTCCTCCTCCAAGCTGTCATCCTGGGGCGCCTACAAGCACCCTTGGATGGCAGAGAAGTGAGGACCCGAGCTGGGAGGATGGATGGATAGGCTCAGGAACTCACTGGGCTGCGGCTTGTCCCGGCCCCCGGGCCTCACCTTCCCCACAGCTGCCGAACCAGTAACCGGAAAAGCCTCATCCTAACCAGCACTTCACCCACGCTGCCGCGACCCCACTCCCCGCTGCCGGGCCACTTAGGTGAGACAGGTGGTACAGTCTTGGTGGGTGTGGACCAGACTATAGGGGGCAGGGCCTCAGTCGAGAGGGCGTGGCTATATCTCAGGAAGGGGGCAGTGTCTGGAAAGAGGTGGACCCGGATTGGACAAGGAGCAGGACCATCCTTGTGTGGGGGAGGTTATTGAACTGAGGGAAAGGCACTGATGGGCAGAGCTTAGGTGAAGGTGGATTGGATAAAACGTAGGGCAGAATGGAGGAGCCATAGCTGAAGGGTGGGGCCTTCCCAGAGGAAGGCAGAATAGGCGGAGAGGGGGCTTGTCTGAAAGAGAACCAAAAATGCTTAGACTGGGGTGGCCACCGCCAAAGGGGCGTGGCCAACCCGTACATGGATTGAACTACATTAAAGGGGACGGGATGCCGTCTGCAATCCACTTTGGAGATCAGGAAGCCTGATGGGATTGCCCTCCACCGCAGGCTTAAAGCAACCCCTCTTTCCACCACAGGTAGCAGTCCCCTGGACAGCCCCCGCAACTTCTCCCCCAACACCCCCGCCCACTTCTCGTTTGCCTCCTCCCGAAGGTGAGTCCCTCCCCTGAGGGTCCCAGAACCCTGTCCGGACCCTCTCCACCCACAGTCTGGGCCGCCATCTGTTCTTGTCCTAATTGCACTGGAGCTGGGGCCTGAGGGGATCCATGGAGTGCCCTAGGGTCCCCAGGGAAGAAGCGCCCAGGCTTCGGGGCGGAGCCTATAAAAAGGCGGGGCCAATCACTGTTCAGGAATGGGGGGGGCGCGGCTCATTTGCAGCGGAGGGAAAGCGCGTGCGCTCTAGGCCCAGGGTCTTCCTCTCCCCAGCCTTGCGCGCCTGGCCAGGCATTTCTATAGCAACGGGACAGGGTAGCAGAGATGAGGTGCGCAAGCGCAGAAGTGGGGGAGGGTGGCTAGGACTACTTCTGAGGGTCCCAAAAGGATGAATGTCAGAGTTCCCCTGAGGTTTTCTGGAAACTTCTGGAAGTGTCCTCAGATGAATTTTCTGGGGACCTTTGGTGAAATTGGCAAGAAAGAGAGGTTCCTCTGATGGTTTTTGGAGAAGCTTTCTGGGAATCAACGGGGGTTTCGGGCAAATGTCTTTTTCTTTGAACTCTATCTATTCAGTCTAAAACCAGTGTCTAAACACCTGCTTTGTGTAAGGAGCCAGACATCTGGCATGAATGACACCTCGCCTCTGTCCTCAGCGTTGAATGGGGCAAAAAGGAAAGAGAGGGGATCATTTTAAAGACAGATGAAGGCTGTAAAGGGGACACAAGGGACGATGAGGACAGAGGACAGCTTCCTGGGGAGGGTGAGGTGTGCACTTACCTGAGGGCAATAAGAAGCGAGGACAGGCTAGGGTTTATCCTGGTGTATCCATCTGGGTAGAGGGAGACCTGAGCCAGGGCCCTCCCTGTTGGAAGAAGGAACAAATAAAGTAGTGTGTGTTGGTGTGACTGTGCTATCTGTGTGCCGACATGGTTGTGTGTGAGTGTGAGTTTGAGATTTTGAACATGTGAAGGGACCATGTGCCTATACTTATGTCTGTGGACATCAGTGGGTGTAGACCTGTGTGTATCTATTGCTTTGTAAACGTGTGAAAATGTGAGGACCCCCATCTGTGTGTCTCCGGGTGAGTGAGCAGTGGCGTGGCGTGGGAGTGTGGATGTGTGTGAATGTGTGTTTGTGAGGCAGTAAACGTGTGTGTGAGGGAGCACGTGCTTCGTGGGAGAACGCGTTTGTGTGCGAAAGCAGATGAGAATGTGGGGGGGGGAGGGGTGGGGGGTGGGTGGGGGCAGGGGGGGGGGGGGAGGGGGGGGGGGGGGGGGAGGGGGGGGGGGAGGGGGGGGAGAGGGGGGGGGGGGGGGGGGGGGGGGGGGTGGGGGGAGGTGTGGAGGGGGATTGAGTGTGTGGCTGTGTGGGAGTTTGAATGTGTGACAGTGACTGAGTGTCTTCTTCACTGTATCTGAATGAATGTAAAAATGTAGAGTATGTGTGAGCTGGTGTGTGGGTATCATTGGGAGTCTTGGGTTTCTGTGTGTGTGTGTGTGTGTGTGTGTTGTGTGTGTGTGCATGCATATGTGTACACCTGGTTTTGCACGTGTGATGTTTGTTAGTGTAGAAGTGTGATATTGAGATCCCTATATGCAGTAATGAATACATGTGAATGTGTATTGGGTGTGTGTGAAGTGTGATTGTGTGTGAATGCAAATTTGGCCACAGGAGTCACACTAACACGAGTGGCTGTGAGAGGAGTGACTGTGTGTGCATGAGGGTGTACAACCTTGGGAAGGGGTGTTGGTGTGTGTGTAAGAGGGAAGGGACTTTCTTCTCTGAGAGGGCTGAGGGGTCTTCCTCTGAGAGCTTTCTTATGGGGGCTTCCCTAGGGGGGTGCCCGGGGATGACTTCCTTCCTGGTTTTTTTTTTTTTTTTTTTTTTTGGTGCTGGGGGAAGAACCCCTGGTCTCCAGCATGCTAGGCTAGCCCTCTACTACTGAGCCACACCCCCAGGTCCCTTGGCTAGACTTCTTCAGTTCTCCTCTGAGACCACTCTGAATGCTTGTTTGGTGTGGCAGTGATTCCAAATCAGGGGTGGACCATGGGGAAGGACACGGAGACCTATCTTTTTGCCAACATCCTGGGGCCTGACTAGAAAATTACCTCTTTGCCTGCTTGACTCTGAGGGCCCAGGAATCTCTGATCACACCCTCCTGCCCTGGCTACTGCTAGTGGCTTCTCTCTTACCCTAAGGAATGGTGGGGGACCAGTGGGGCCTGGCAGCTTCTGAGCACCTCCTCTGGGTTCTAGGGCGGATGGACGCCGCTGGTCACTGGCTTCACTCCCTTCATCTGGCTATGGCACCAACACTCCCAGCTCCACGGTCTCGGTGAGTGTGGTGGGGGATTGCTGAGAGGATGGGTAGGGGTTCTCCAGCCTGAAGGCCCACACCCAGGCCTGCAACCCAGGCTGGACTTAATGAGAAGGTGGATTTCTCTTTTTTCATGGGTGTCCACTTGTCCCCATCTACTAGAGTTATAGGTTCTCCATCCTCAAAGCACCAGTGTCTGTCCCAACACATCTTCTTGGGAGTGTTCCTACTCATTTCCCATTCATAGATGATAGCATTAGGGCTGGGTGAGTTAAACCACTTGCCTAAATGTCTGTAGCTGGACAGAGCCAGGACACACATGAATTTTGCTCATAGTCCATTTGCTTACGCCACTGACCCACTCAAAACCTGTGTCCCAAGCCAGGCATGGCAATTCATGCCTATAATTCTAACCACTCAGGAGGCAGAGGTAGGAGGATCATAGTCCAAGGTTGGCCCCCAGTAAAAAGTAGCAGACACTATCTGAAAAATAACTGAAACAAAAAGGGATGGAATGTGGCTCAAGTGGTAGAGCACCTGCCTAGTAAGTACAAGGCCCTGAGTTCAATCCCAGTATTACCAAAAAATCTCTAATGAACAAACCTCTGTCTCCATCAGCTCCCTTTTATGCCCATGTCTCTGGCTCACTCATTCATCCATTGTGATAATTTGGCAGGTACTGATCATATGATTCTCATGTGTGGAAAGGCACTTGATTGAGCTGGGGGTGGGCATCAAGGAGGCTTCCTGGAGGAGGTGGCACTGAAGCCAAGCAAACGTTCAGTATGAGTTTGGCAGGTGGAAGAGAAGGTGAAGGGTATTCCTAGAAGGGGGGGAACACCAGCATGTGCAAATGGCCAGAGTCCACAGAAAACTCTCTGCACTTGTGAGGTTGAGCATGGTGGTGCACTTGAGAGAATGGAGAGTTCAAGGCCAGCCTGAGCTACACAGTGAGACCCCATCTCAAAAAGAAAAAGAAAAAAGAGGTGAAGTGGTTCAAGTCCTAGAGCACTGGCCTAGCGGGCAGGAGGTCCAGTGTTTGAACCCCATGACTACCTAAAAGAAATTTTTGAATGGCAGAGTGGCTCAAGTGGTAGAGCACCTACCTGCCTTGCAAGCATGAGGCCTCGAGTTCAAACCCCAGTACTGCCAAAGGAAAAAAAAAAAAAAGAAAGACCTAGCTTGCCAGGCGCTGGTGGCTCACACCTGTAATCCTGGCTACTCAGGAGGCAGAGATTAGGAGGATCGAGGTTCAAAGCCAACCCAGGCAAATAGTTCCATGAGACTCTATCTTGAACAAACCCTTCACAAAAAGGGGCTGGTGGACTGGCCCAAGGTGTAGGGCCCTGAGTTCAAACCCAGGTACCACAAAAAAAAAAAAAAAAAGGAGGAAAAGAAAAGGAAGGAAGGAAGGAAGAAAAAGGAATGGTGTGTGGCTGGAGCTTTGGGCTGGAGGGGTAGAAACAGAGGAGATGCAGGCAGTGAGCATAATTACTCTGTGACTTTCAGGGCCTCACACCTGCTAGGCAATTGCTCTATCACTGAGCCCACCCCCAGCCCTCATGAAGGGTTGGGAACAGAGGAAGGACATGACTTGACATAAGTTTTATCAGGCTCCCTCTGGCCACTTCCTTGTCTGTGTCACGGTCCCCATCCGTGTGTGTCCCTGTCCGCCTGTCTCTTGCCAGTAGTCCCAGACCTAGTTGGGACCTAAACATGATAAGGGTCTGGGTTCTGATCCTACCTAGTGGCTAATCCTCCCTGGGACTCCCAGGCCAGGTTCCCAAGCTGTGCGTGTGGGGGGAGGGGCCCGTGGTGGCTCTGACCCGGCCGCCCCTCTCCCCCAGTCCTCCTGCTCCTCCCAGGAGCGCCTGCACCAGCTGCCCTACCAACCCACCGTGGATGAGCTGCACTTCCTCTCCAAACACTTCGGTAGCACGGAGAGCATCACCGACGAGGATGGCGGTCGTCGCTCCCCGGCCGTGCGGCCCCGCTCGCGGAGCCTCAGGTGGGCAGGCACCCCCTCCCCCAATCACCCCTGGAGCTGGTGGTCTGGGGGTGGCATTGTGCATTGAAGGACCGCCCCCCACCCGTCCCCAGAAAATAAAGGGGAGCTGGGCCCACCTCGGAGGCAGGGAGCTGGACAGGATGGGCTTCTCTCGCTGCAGCCCCGGCCGCTCCCCCTCCTCCTATGACAACGAGATCGTCATGATGAACCACGTGTACAAGGAGCGGTTCCCCAAGGTGAGACCCGCGCCCTGCGCGCTTCTGGCTGCTTCGCTTGCCTTGGCTCGCGCGCCCCCTCGTGGCCGGCGCGCGCGGCGCAGGCCCCTGGCGGCCACTGCCCAGTCCTGGGACCCGCATTCCCCTGCTTTGTCCCTACCGCAGGCCACCGCGCAGATGGAGGAGAAGCTACGCGACTTCGCCCGGGCCTACGAACCTGACAGCGTGCTGCCGCTGGCCGACGGCGTGCTCAGCTTCATCCATCATCAGATCATCGAGCTGGCCCGGGATTGCCTGACCAAGTCCCGCGACGGTCTCATCACCACCGTCTACTTCTATGAACTGCAGGAGAATCTGGAGAAGCTGCTGCAGGACGTGAGTGCACGCGGAGGTGGCCCCAGCAGATCAGGCCCCTCACCTCCAAATCCTGCCCGATGCCCCCGTCCCATTCGGGTAGCACCTACCCTGTGCCAGGCGCCAGTGTGCAACTGAGGTTGAAGGTGGAGAAGGACGCAGTCCCTGCCCGAGATCCAAAAGAGGATCTCGTTGCCAGGCGCCGGTGGCTCACGCATGTAATCCTCGCCTTCCGGAGGCAGAGATCAGGAGGACCGAGGTTTGGAGCCAGCCATGGGAAATAGTTCACAAGACCTCATCTTGAAAAAACCCAACACAAAAAAAGGACTGGTAGAGTGATTCAAAGTGTACACTCTGAGTTCAAACCCCAGTACTGCAAGCAAACAAACAAGCACAAAAATTTAACCTTCCTGGCCTCCTTCAGGTCTTTACCCAAAGGCTGCCTGAGGTGGCCCCCTTGACCTTTCCCCCTGTTAAAATTTCAAAATCTGCTCAAACATCATCCTGTAGATTTTTATTTATCTTCTATCTTGGCTCCCTGACTCCAGTGTCAACTGCACAGGTGAGCAGAGGGGTTCTGTTCACTGCTGTGCCCTTGGTGTCTGGTGCAGTGCTCAGCAAACAGGTTCTCAATAAGTGTTGGTTAAATGGGGGCATTTGTCCATCATGCATCAGCCCTGAGTTCCATCCTAGCACCATACACACACACACAAACTAAAAGTTGGTTAAATGAAATGAATGGATGGGCTGGAGGTAGTGGTGCACACTCCTGTAATCCCAGCACTCAGGAAGCAGAGGCAGGAAGATGGTGAGTTCAAGGGCAGCGTGGGCTACATATTGAAACCCTATCTCAAAAAAATAAAGATAATCTGGGCACTGGTGGCTCGTACCTGACATCCTAGCTACTTGGGAGGCTGAGATCAGGAGGATTGAGGTTTGAGGCCCGCTCAAATAGTTCTTAAGACCCCCATCTCCAAAATAAGCAGAACAAGACGGACTGGAGGTGTGGTTCAAGCCATTGAGCACCTGCTTTGCAAATGCAAAGCCCTGAGTTCAAACCCCAGTCCTGCCAAAAAAAAAAAAAAAGTCCAGAAAGTCCACATACCATTTTATATTGGAAGAGAAGCTTAAGCTTGGCTGAGACTCAGTGCCTGTGAACCCCAGTCTCTTGTGTCCCCACCCTCCCCAGGCCTACGAGCGCTCTGAGAGCTTGGAGGTGGCCTTCGTCACTCAGCTGGTGAAGAAGTTACTCATTATCATTTCGCGCCCTGCGAGGCTGTTGGAGTGCCTGGTGAGGAGGCTGTGCGTGGATGGGGGGCTAGAAGGGGCACCTTCAGAGCCCATGGCAAGCCCACCCCTGTCCTGCCTCAGGAATTCAACCCCGAGGAGTTCTACCACCTGCTGGAGGCAGCTGAGGGACACGCCAAGGAGGGCCACCTTGTCAAGACGGACATTCCCCGTTACATCATCCGCCAGTTGGGTCTCACCCGTGACCCCTTTCCAGGTGGGGCTAGGGGTCCCGGGTGGCTGTGGGTGAGCAGGCAGGCCTGACTGCCCACCCTGCTCACTCTCGCCTCCTCCCCAGATGTGGTTCACCTGGAGGAGCAAGATAGCGGGGGCTCCAACACCCCTGAGCAGGACGACCTCTCCGAGGTAAGGCCAGGAAGTGCAATGGGTAGTGAGTGCACTGGCTCATGTGTGGGCCAGCTGTGTCTCACCACCTGGCTCTCTGCACTCAGGCTCTGTGAATCTCTTGGTCCCACACTCTGTACCTCAGTTTCTCCATCTATAAGATGGAATTCATAATAGTCCTTTTGTGTGTGTGTGTGTGTGTGTGTGTGTGTGTGTGTGTGTGGGACTGGGGTTTGAACTCAGGGCTGTGCACTTGCAAAGCAGGCTCTCTACCACTTGAGCCACCTCCAGTCCATTTTGCTCTGGTTATTTTGGAGATGGGGGGGTCCCAGGAACTATTTGTCCAGGCTGGCCTGGAACTGTGATCCTCCTGTCTCAGCCTCCTGAGTAGCTGGGATTACAGGCGTGAGCCACCAGTGCCTGGGAAAATTCTTCCTTTTTTTCCTTTTCTTTTTTTATGGTACTGGGGATGGAACCTAGGGTCTTGCACAAGCCAGGCAAGTGCTCTACCACTGGGCCTTATCCTAGTCCTTGGGTTTTTGAGACGGTCTAGCTGTGTAGCCCAGTCTGGCCTCTAACTCTTGATCCTCCTGCCTCAGTTTCCCAAGTTTTGGGATTACAGGCATGCACCATCTCACCCGCCTGGCTTATTCTTTTTCTTTTGAAGTGTTGGGTATGGCAAGCACTTTCCTGCCAAACTACATCCCTGGACCCAGCATTATGTCGCATGGGCCAGTGCTTAATTCCTTTTTTATAGCTGAGTAATGTCTCTTTGTATGGCTATGCTGATGCTGGTGCTGGAAAAAAACAAAATGCCTGTTTTTCTCCTACTTCTCCACCAGAATCAACACAGCTCGGTGCCATGACCCTAAAAGTTGTGTGTGGGGGAGGTCTGTATCAGGGAATACCTGCTGGGCATCCTTTAATCTATCCAGTTTTTTTTTTTTCTAACTCTCGGCCCAGGCTTGCTAGGCAGGTGCTCTACCACTTGAGTAAATGCCCCCCCCCATTTTTTCTTTGGTTATTTTTCGAATAGGGTCTCCCATTTTTTCCCAGGCCAGTCCATATCTTGATCCTCCTACCTCTGTCTCCCTAATAGTTGGAATGGCAGTTGCATACCGCTGTGGCTTGTTTGTTGAGATGGGGTCTCTCTAACTTTTTACCTGGGCTAGCCATGAACCGCTGTCCTCCTCATCTCTGTCTCTGGAGTAGCTGGGATTATAGGTGTGAGCCACCATGTCCAGCCTATTCTATTCAATTCTAACCTTGTCTATCTGGAGACCGGCAGATGGAACAGGATGGAGGCTCAGTCCCAAGATTGTTCCCTGCCACATTTGACAGTCCCCAGCCTCAGCTGGTTTTTCTCTGTGCTTCTGACTGACTAGCCATAAATTGGGGTTCCCACAACACTTTCCTTAGGACTGATTCATTTGCTCAAATGGCTAAGAGACTTTAAGGACCTATACTTACCAGATTTGGGGTTTTTTTGTTGACAGTACAGGGATTTGAACTCAGGGTCTCATGCTTACTAGGCAGGAGCTCTACCTCTTGAGCCACTCCTTGAGCATACTCCATTTTTGGCATTGAATGGTTTTAAGATAGGGTTTCTTGAACTATTTGCCCAGAATGACTTCAACCCACAAGCTTCCTGATCCCTGCCTCCTGAGTAGCTAGGATTATAGGCGTGAGCCAGCAGCACCCAGCTAGTGTCTCAAACTTGTGATCCTCCTGCCTCAGCCTCTTGAGTGCTAGGATTACAGGAGTGCACCACCAGGCCTGGCTAGGGAATTTCTTTATGACCAGCTCCAACACAAAAAGGCAGGGAAGACGAGCGTTTCCATGACCCACCATGGTGCATGAAGAGAAATTCTCTCTGTCTGGCAGTCCTGGGGTTTGAACTCAGGATCTCACACTTGGTAGGCAGATGCTTTACCACTTGATTCACTCCACCAGCCCAGAAATTTTTTTATAGTTTTTCTTGGGAAGGGAGTTAGGAGCCAGGATCCATGGATGAAAACTAAGATGTGTGTACCATAAAAGCACAGGAGGATGCTGGGTTACGCCTTTGGCTCATGAATGGTGCTGCTGTGAACGTTCGTATACCATTTCATTTGTTGTATACAGCCATTTTCATCGTTCAGGGTGTACGCTGAACAGTGGAATTGCTGTGTCCTAAGGTGACTCTGTGTCTAATTTAGGCAGGACCCTAAATCGGGGTGGAGGGGGTGTTCTAGCTCTATGTGATTGAGCAGTGCTGGGGATGGAACCCAGGACCCCACGAAAGCTAGGTGAGTACCCTAGGACTGCACTGTGCCCCCAGCCCTAGCTCCATGTGTTAATGGTGGACTGGCCTGGTAAAAATGTCCACGATCTTACCAAGTACTGGTGGCTTATGCCTGTGATTCTAGCTACTTGGGAAGCTGAGATTGGGAGGATGGAGGTTTGAAGCCAGTTTGGGCAAATAGTTTTCAAAACCCCATCTCAATGGAAAAGAGGTAGCTGGGTACTGGTGGCTCATTGCTGTAATCCTAGCTACTCAGGAAGCAGAGATCAGGAGGACCATGGTTCAAAGCCAGCCTGGCAAATAGTTTCTCGGACTATATCCCCCCCCACACACAAAAAAAGGGCTGGTGGAGTTGCTCAAGATATAGGCCCTGAGTTCAAGCCCCAGTACCTCAAAAAAAAAAAAAAAAAAAAAGCTGAGTGTGGTGTGCACACCTGTCATCCCAGCTCCTGTGGGAACTTTAAAGTAGGTGTTCGAGGCCTGGGCAAAAAGAAAGATCCTGTCTCCAAAATAACCAGAGCGAAGAAGGGCTGGAGACTTAGCCCAAATGGTAGAGTCCCTGTCTAGTAAGTATGAGGCCCCAAGTTCAAACTCTAGTACTGCCACAAAAATAAAACATTCTTAATTCCATCCAGAAGCCATCAGTCTAGCCGAGAGTGCTCGCCCTAATGGTTGCACGTGTTTTGTCTGAATAAACTTGTCTTTTTTGAAAATTTTTATAAGTATATAAAAGTCAGATTCTGCCTCAAATTTGAGCTTGGGCCTTCTCTTGATAACTCAGAATTTCTGACAATGTGGTTGGAGGGACCAGCAGTGTTGAGTGGGGGCTACCCTGGGGAATGGGGTGCGTGGTCATTAGTCATCTATGGCTGTCCTGTGTGCCCTCTGAAGACACTTGAGGTGTGGCCTTTGTTTCAAATCGTTTCTCTGTATCCACACCGTGTTTCCTTGATAAGTGTTATGTTATCTTTCATCGATACGTATATCAATATATTCATATATATCCAAGACTGACTGAGCAAAAACTCCAGACCTTATCTGAAAAAGAAACCTAAAGCACTCAAGCCTGTAATGCTAGCTACTCAGGAGGCAGAGCTCAGGAGGATCGCAGTTCAAAGCCAGCCCCGGAAAATAATTCTGCGAGACCCTATCTCAAAAAAACCCTTCACAAAAATAGGGCTGATGAAGCGGCTCAAGGTAAAAGCCTTGAGTTCAAGCCTCAGTACCACAAAAGAAACCTAAAGCCAAAGGGATTGGGAGTGTGGCTGACATGGTAGAGCACAAGGCCCTGAGTTCAAATCCCCAGTATCCAGAAAAACAAACAAACCCAGAATCTCATTACACATGCATTTGTTTAATTTCTTGACTAGGTAATGGAATGACATCAGTCAAAACTCTAAAAGTATCAAAAGGTATTTATCTCTGTTGTTTGTAGGGTTCTGTGTCAATTCATTCAGTGAGGCTTGTTAATTGAGTGATTCAAATCTTCCATTTCCCTATTCTTCTTTTTCCTGGTTGAGCTAATAGTTTCCAAGAGGTATGTGTTAAATCCTTGTTTGGAGTAATTTCTTCTTCTTCTTTTTTTAAAATTTTATTTTATCGTTTTCACATTTACTTACATGTGTATACATTGTTTTGGCTACCTCCTCCCTCCTCCCTCTTTTCTTTGAATTTTTGTGTCAGTTTTTTTTTTTTTTTTTTGGTAATATTGGGGTTTGAACTCAGGGTCTCACGCTTGCTAGGCAGGTGCTCTAATGCTTGAGCTACTTTGCCAGCCCCAATTCTACCAATTTTTTTTTTAGTTTTTTCTCCCCCTCTGTCATGTTGGGGATCAAACCCAGGCCTCTCCCATGCTAGGCAAGAGCTCTACCACTGAGCTACACCCTAGCCCTGTGTAAGATATTTTTAGGCGACACAATTAGGACCAACGAGTTCAATGTCTTTACAATTCACCTTTCTTTTGGTGTAATAGCCATCTAATAAATACTTCTGTTCCTAAGAAAAATCGGATAATATCCAAGAATGATATTTAGTGAAAAAAATCTATCCCCAACTTAGTCTCGATTGCTTTATATCCCCCAAATTACATAGACTTAATTTGCCACTTTCATTTCAACACAAAAGCAAACAAGATATGTTGTCCCTTGCTCTTTTCCCTTTATTTATTTAATTATTTAGTTATTTATTTGTGGTGGGACTGGGGTTTGCACTTAAGGCCTCACACTTGCTAGGCAGGCGCTCTGCCACCTGAACCTTGCCTTCAGCCTGGGATTCTCCATTCTTTTAAACAGTGGAACAATACTCCCTTGACATGATGCTTCACATGTGTTTATTTAGCTAATTTCCTACAGATGGACCTAATACCTGCTCCCTGTCTTGCAATGGACAAGATGGAATATATGCTAATTTCCACACCTGCAAGCAAATTAGCAGCATAAATTCAAAAGTGAAGTTGCTGTGTCAAAGAAAGCATGTAGTTCTAATTCTGAGATATATCAGAATATATCTCATTTTGCAGTAATTTTTTTTTTGTGTATGTGTATGTGTGTGAACACTGGGGATTGAACTCACAGCCTGACACACATAAAGCATTCGATCTACTACTGAAATACATCCCCAGTCTGGTTATACTAACTTACACTCCTCCCAGCAAGGTTTCAAAGTGCCTGTTTACCTGAAGCTTTGCTTATAGGTTTCTCAGCCTTTTGGAATTTTTCTTTCTTTTTTTTCCATTTCTGGGGTTTGAACTCAGAGCCTTATGTTTGCTGGGCAGGCACTCTACCAATTGAGCCACTCCACCAGTGCATTTTTTTGTGATAGTCCCCCCCCTCCCAAGATAGATAGGGTCTCACCAACTATTTGCTAGGGATTGGCCTTGAACTTTGATCCTTCTGATCTCTGCCTCCTGAGTAGCCAGAATTACAAGTCTGAGCCATCAGTGCTAGGCTTGGATTTTTTCTTTCTTTTGCCAATCTGCTAGTTATAAAACTAGCCTAGTAGTTGGCAGTAGATGTAACTTGCCTTTTGTCATTATGTGAGAGATTAAGCATTTTTTTCTCACGTTTAGGAGGTCTAGTCTTCACATACCTTGCCCATTTTTTTTCTCTTCAATTGATAGGGTTCTTGTCATTGATTTCTGGGACCTCTTTATATATGTATATATACATTAAGGTGATTATTCATTTTGTAGGTTTTCTGCTATCTTTCCTAATGGAAAAAGTTGGGAATATGTCTTCAGAGCCAGTCTCTTTGGTTTAAGTCCTGAACTTGAACGAAGGGCTCAGCCACCCTCTGTGCATCAATCAGTGTTTTCACGTAGGAATAGAGCCCTACTCTGATTACAAGGATGATGGTGGGGGGCTCTGTCTCCCCCCTGCAGGGTCGCAGCAGCACCACCAAGGCCAAGAAACCTCCAGGGGAGAACGACTTTGACACCATCAAGCTCATCAGCAATGGTGCCTACGGGTGAGCCACCCGGGGCTCTGGCGGGGGGAGGTGGCGGAGGCCGGGCGTCTCGGAGGTGACAGCCGGTCCCCGTTCTCTCCCCCTGCAGTGCTGTGTACCTGGTGCGGCACCGCGACACCAGGCAGCGCTTTGCCATGAAGAAGATCAACAAACAGAACCTGATTCTGCGCAACCAAATCCAGCAGGCCTTCGTGGAGCGCGACATCCTCACCTTTGCCGAGAACCCCTTCGTGGTCGGCATGTTCTGCTCCTTCGAGACCCGGCGCCACCTCTGCATGGTCATGGAATATGTGGAAGGTGTGGCTGCCTGAGGGGCTGCCAGGAGAACGGGGGCCGGCAGCTGACCCATGCATATATATATATATTTTTTTTTTTTTTTAATTTTTTTGGCGGCACTGGGGCTTCATGCTTGCAATGAAAGTGATCTTACCACTAGAGCCACTGCACCAATCCCCAGAGTGGTCTTGAACTCCTCCCAAATAGTTGGGATTGGGGTTCCTGGTGTGTGCCACCATGCCCAGCTCGATAGATATGTGTACGTATAATATATATGACATATATATTTTATATATATCATATATATATCATATATATATGTATAATTATATATGTATAATATATATATATAATATATATGTACTGGGGTTTGAACTCAGAGCTTTGTACCTGCTAAGCAGTAGGTCAGGTGCTCTACCGTTTGAGCCATGCCCTCAGCCCTTTTTTGCTCTGCTTTTTTTGGAACTATGAGGTCTCACTTTTTTTTTTTTTCAGGCTGGTCTGGGCCTCGATCCTCCTATTTTAAGCTTCCTGCCATCTCTGGGATGTCAGGCACGTGCCACCACGCCCAGCTGTTTCCCATTGAGATGGGATCTCGAAAACATTTTTGCCCAGGCTGGCTTTGAACCTCAATCCTCCTGATCTCCACATACCAACAGCTAGCTAGGATTAGATTACTTGGTCCAGCCTTTGATTTCAATTTTTTTTTTATTCTGGGGTTTGAACTCAGGGCCTACACCTTGAGCCATTCCACCAGCCCTTTTGTTTTCGAGATAGGGTCTCTCAAACTCTTTGCCCAGGCTGGCTTCAAACTGCAATGCTCTTGATCTCTGCCTCCTGCTACACCTGTAATCCTAGCTACTCAGGAAGCAGAGATCAGGAGAATCGAAGTTTGAGGCCAACCCAGGCAAATAGTTTGAGAGACCTATCTTGAAAATACTCAACACAAAAAAGGACTGGCGGTTGGCTCAAGTGGTAGAGCGCCTGCCTAGCAAATGTGAGGCCATGAGTTCAAGCCTCAGTACTGACAAAAAAAAAATTGCTTAGAATAAATATGGGGGAGACCAGATTTTCAGGCCCTGGACCTCAAGGTTCAGATGTGGAGGGTTATGCTCACAGACCAAGTCTTTGATTCACAAGCAGCCTTTGGTTCCAACCAAATTCACCACTACCATCACTTCTGTGACTTGACTTCTGAGTCTCAGTCCCCTTATGTATAAAATGGGCTGATTATACCAATTTGGGAGATGGCTAAAAGGATGAGAGAAGCCTGGGAGCTCCCTGTGTGACTTGGGAAGGGGCACCTCACTTTTCCTTATCTGCAAATTGGGTGCAGTGAAGGAGGAGTTAGTGGAATGGTGCAGATGAAATACTCACCTCTGGACCAGGGGTGCCTCCCTCCTCACACGGCTCGTTTCCCGGTCTGCAGGCGGTGACTGTGCCACCCTTCTAAAGAACATTGGGGCACTGCCGGTGGAGATGGCCCGTATGTACTTCGCAGAGACTGTGTTGGCACTGGAGTACTTGCACAATTATGGCATCGTGCACCGCGACCTCAAGCCGGACAAGTGAGCGTTGACCTTGCCTGTCACTCTCTCCCTGTCCCTTGGGAGGCCCAGCCTCTGAGACTCCCACCCATGTCTGCAGCCTCCTCATCACCTCCATGGGTCACATCAAGCTTACAGATTTCGGCCTCTCCAAGATGGGGCTTATGAGCCTGACGACCAACTTGTACGAGGGCCACATCGAGAAGGATGCCCGGGAGTTCCTGGACAAACAGGTGTGTGACGGGCATGGGGGTCGCCAAGGGTGGAGTGACCCTGCAGGACCTCAGGGGCCCAGGGCCTGGTGGGGGGCACAGCTCTCCTTCGAGGCCCCTCCTGCGGCCAGGGCGCGGGCTGATCGCCTGCCCCCAGGTGTGTGGGACCCCAGAGTACATCGCGCCCGAGGTCATCCTGCGCCAGGGCTACGGCAAGCCAGTGGACTGGTGGGCCATGGGAATCATTCTGTACGAGTTCCTGGTGGGCTGCGTGCCCTTCTTCGGGGACACCCCGGAAGAGCTCTTTGGACAGGTCATCAGTGGTATGTATCTCCAAAGTAGGGGACATGGGGACATGGGGGGGGCCGTCAACTCCCAAAGAGACCCTTCAGTTCCTCTCTGCTTTCAGATGACATCCTGTGGCCGGAAGGAGATGAGGCGCTGCCTACAGATGCCCAGCTTCTGATATCCAGCCTCCTGCAGACCAATCCCCTGGTCCGGCTTGGAGCAGGTAAGGGGGCTGCCGCATGGAGTTGCTGGATGCTGGGGGCCTGTAGTCGGGTGTAGGGACCCCATAACCCCAGGCCCAGTCTGAGCTGTAGCCGTGAGGCGTTAGAACTGGGTTGCTGGGCTGGCCATCAGGTGTCGCTGGAATCCCTTACCTCCCAGGTGGCGCCTTTGAGGTGAAGCAACACAGCTTCTTTCGAGACCTGGACTGGACGGGGCTGCTGAGGCAGAAGGCAGAGTTCATCCCCCACCTAGAGTCGGAAGATGACACCAGCTACTTCGACAGTGAGTGGCCACACTAGAGCAGGCCTGGGGCGGGGAGACGATGGGGAGTGAGAGCCCTAGAGGAAGGCGTGGGAGGAGGCTAAGGTCTAGGTGAAAAAGTTGACGTTGTGTCAGGGGCGTGGCCTGCGGGGGCGGGGCAGTGCCGGGGCGGGGTCTGTCGTAGGGGCGGGGTTAGGCTAAGAACTAGGTAAGAAGTGCGGTGGGAGGGTAGGGGTGGAACCTGGACAGAGGAGCTCTTAAGGTGGGCCTGGGTTTGGCCTAAACGGCAGGGCTAGGACCAAGAAAAGGCTGGGGCTGAGGCAGAGGTGGAGCTAGGATACAGGTGGGATCTAGGGGTGTAGCCTTCTCTGGGGGCGGGGCTAGGCTGAGACTAGAAATATGGGTCCGGGCCAAGGGCCGGGGGCGGAGCCAAACGTAATGGGGGCAGGGGCGTGGCCTAATCTGCAGGCCCGGTTTGAACCGGGATGGGGCTCTGAGACGCGAACCAGGTCTGGCAGTCACAACCCATACCCCGTCCCCAGCCCGCTCAGACAGGTATCACCACGTGAACTCCTACGATGAGGATGACACGACGGAGGAGGAGCCCGTGGAGATCCGCCAGTTCTCCTCCTGCTCCCCGCGCTTCAGCAAGGTGGGTTAAGGCTGGGCTTGAGTGGGGCGAGCCCAGGGGCGGGGCCTGGGTGGGGGTAGGGCTTGAGAAGCAGGAGGAGGGGAGCCTTGGGGGGCCATGGGAAGCAGGGTCCCAGACGCACTGGTTTCAGTATTGGTTGCTTACTGAGGGGGGCAAGGCTTAAGGAGTGAGACCTGAGGGGTGGGCAGAATGGGGGTTTATGCCACAGGCCTTTGGCATTGAATGGAGTTTAACTGAACCAGGATGGTTGTGTAGATGAGGTCCACAGTGGGGCGGAGCTTGCACTGGACAGGGTAAGGTCAGGGGATGAAGATGACAGAAGAGGCGGGGCAAAGCGGAGCAATTTGGAGAAGCAACTTGGAGAGGGGTGCATGGATTGAGTGGGGTTACAGGGATTGGTGAGAACACTGGAGGGGCGGGGCTTGCAACAAAGCAGGCCTACCTTTGTGGGGCGGCGCTTGAATTGAAGAGTTGTAGGTTATTGGGGCACAGTCCAGAATTGGGCGGAACTGTCCAGAAATAGGTGGGGCCTGGATCTGGGAGGGTGGACTGTGGCTGAGGCGGGTCCAGTGGATGGAAGTTGGCTTAGAAACGAAGGCTGACTCACCACCGTCCACCTGGCTCGCAGGTGTATAGCAGTATGGAGCAGCTGTCGCAGCATGAGCCCAAGACCCCCGTGGCTGCAGCAGGGGGCAGCAAGAGGGAGCCCAGCGCCAAGGGTCCGGAGGAGAAGGTGGCCGGCAAGCGGGAGGGGCTGGGCGGCCTGACCCTGCGTGAGAAGACCTGGAGAGGGGGTTCCCCAGAGATGTGAGCAGGGGTAGACGGGGTTTGGGGGCGGGGCCGAAGGGGGCGTGTCTCTTCTGACCCAGCCTTCTTTGCGCAGAAAGCGCTTCTCTGCATCTGAAGCCAGTTTCCTGGAGGGGGAGGCGAGTCCCCCGCTGGGCGCGCGCCGACGTTTCTCTGCGCTGCTGGAACCCAGCCGCTTCAGCGCCCCGCAGGAGGACGAGGATGAGGCCCGGCTGCGCAGGCCTCCCCGGCCCAGCTCCGATCCACCAGGCTCGCTGGATGTTCGGGCCTCCAAAGAGGCGGTCCAAGGGGACGCCGAGGCCAGTGAGTCCCCTCTCCTGCTGCCTTCCCCACTTCCTCAGCGGCCCTATATTGAACATTCATTCGGTGAGCCTGGAACTGTTTATGCAAGATCACACACACTATTCACACTCCAACGTGGAATTAGCATTAAGATGTGCTCTGTACCATGAGCTACGCTAAATGCATGAGTAACCTACTCTGACGAAACTCACAATTTAGCAGGAGACTCGTGGGAAGGGCATTCCAGACCGAGGGAACAGCATGGCCTTGAACTGATCCCTAACCCACCTGCTCTCTGCCACAGCTGAGCGCCCACGCCCAGGTGACCTCTGCCCACCCTCGAAGGATGGGGACACATCAGGCCCCAGGGCCACCAATGACCTAGTTCTGCGCAGGGCGCGGCACCAGCAGCTGTCAGGGGATCCTGCCGTGGAGAAGCGGCCTTCTCGAACGGGGGGCAAAGTTATCAAGTCAGCCTCAGCCACTGCCTTGTCTGTCATGATTCCTGCAGGTGAAGCTGGGCTCCAAACCAACGGGGGGGAGGGACTTGTCTCATTTGAGCCAGGACAGGCCAATGGACATGCTACAGTTTCCCTGTCCACAATGATTGACTCCAGGGTGGACCAATGAGAGTCCACCCTGGAGGACTTTGACTTAGGAGGAGCAGATACCCAGAAAGCTGTCTTGTTGACCCTGAACTCTTACCATGGTCTGTTTCCAGTGGACCCCCATGGAAGCTCACCACTTGCTAGTCCCATGTCCCCAAGATCTCTCTCCTCCAACCCGTCCTCACGGGACTCCTCACCCAGCCGGGACTACTCACCAGCTGTCAGTGGACTCCGCTCCCCCATCACCATTCAACGCTCAGGCAAGAAATATGGCTTCACCCTGCGTGCCATCCGCGTCTACATGGGTGACTCAGATGTCTACAGTGTCCACCACATTGTTTGGGTGAGCACTTACGGGCGAGGTTTATATCCAAGGGTGGGGAATGGGGGGAGTGTTTGAACCCTTCAGCATCCCAGGCTGAAGGGTTCAAACTCTGGAGCTTGATAGCCTGGGTGAGACTCCCCTGTGACTCCACCTTCGATTAACTCTCTGACCCTCAGTTTCTTTGTCTGTAAAATGGGAGAATGATAACTATTTCACAAGCTGTTATGAGGAGTGTTGTGCATACAGAGCCAGGGTGTCCGGCTTTCCTTATCACCAATCCTGTTAACCCTACCTCTGTGGGGTTCTCTGTCCCCAGCACGTGGAGGAAGGTGGCCCAGCCCAAGAGGCGGGGCTGTGTGCGGGAGACCTGATCACCCACGTGAACGGGGAGCCTGTGCATGGCATGGTGCATCCAGAGGTCGTGGAGCTGATCCTTAAGGTGAGTGCAGGGGAGAGTGCACACTGGGTGGAGGGTGGAGGAGACCTGAGCAGCCTCACGCACAGCATTCCATCCCTTCTTCTTCCAGAGCGGCAACAAAGTGGCTGTGACCACAACACCCTTCGAAAATACCTCCATCCGTATCGGACCCGCTAGGCGCAGCAGCTACAAGGCCAAAATGGCCCGGAGGAACAAGCGGCCCTCTGCCAAGGAGGGCCAGGAGAGGTGGGCGGGGCATAAATAGACTTATCTATGAGCAGTGGGCGGGGCTAGGGCGAGAGAGGCACAGGTGAGAACAGGAGAAGGGAAGTGTGCGGGCACAAGGAAAGAGCAAAGACAAGAGGACAAACCAGTTAAGAGGGGCTGGAAAAGTGAGAGAAGCCAGAAAAGGAAGCTGTGCCAGGTTTCTGGACTGGACGAAAAGCTTCGTGGGAGTGTCTGCGGGGCAGGACTAACTTCTTCCCTCTTGGATAGGAGCTAGGAAAGTGGATGGGACCAGAAGAACGTTGTGGGGTTTTTTTTGGGGGGGTGCTGGGGATCGAACCCACAGCCCCACTCATGTTAGGCAACCCCTCTACCACTGAGCTAACCCCTCCCCCAATCCCAAGGGATGAGTGGGTTTAACTTGGACTGGGAGTGGGGATTTGAGGGAGAGAAGTCAGACAAGGCTGAATCAAGTGAATTAACCATGCTAGGTGGGTTGTGGAGAAAAAGGGAGAGGCTAGGACGTAGGCGGGACAGAAAGAAACCAACCTAAAACGGTTGGTTTCTAGCTTGGACTCGAAATAGCTAGAAGGACTGGGCGGGGCCTAAATGGGAGGAGCCAAGCGGGACTGAGCCAAGAGAAGTTCTTTCCGCCTTGATTGGTGGAGTTGTAGCAAGAGAGGGCGGGACTAGACGGGGTGGGCGCTTGCTGCGGCTGTAGCACCGCCCACAACTGGGAGGAGCCCGGGCTCTGGGGAGTGATCAAGGGTAGATAAGTGGACCCCTGTCTGTCCCCCCAGCAAGAAGCGCAGCTCGCTCTTCCGGAAGATCACAAAGCAGTCAAACCTACTGCACACTAGCCGCTCGCTGTCGTCGCTGAACCGCTCACTGTCGTCCAGCGACAGTCTCCCGGGCTCGCCCACGCACGGGCTGCCCGCGCGATCGCCCACGCACAGCTACCGCTCCACACCCGACTCCGCCTACCTAGGTAGGCTGTGCACCTGAGTTGGGGCCGGGGCGGGGAGTGGCGGGAGCGGAGGTGGCTTGCCTGGGACCTGGCGCTTCTCACTCCTTCCCGCTCTCAGGTGCATCGTCTCAAAGCAGCTCGCCAGCCTCCAGCACCCCCAATTCGCCAGCGTCGTCCGCGTCGCACCACATCCGACCCAGCACGCTGCACGGGCTGTCGCCAAAGCTCCACCGCCAGTACCGCTCTGCGCGCTGCAAGTCAGCCGGCAACATCCCGCTGTCGCCGTTGGCGCACACGCCATCCCCCACGCAGGCGTCGCCGCCGCCGCTGCCGGGCCACACGGTGGGCAGCTCGCACACGACGCAGAGCTTCCCCGCCAAACTTCACTCGTCGCCGCCCGTCGTGCGTCCGCGCCCCAAGAGTGCAGAGCCCCCGCGCTCGCCGCTCCTCAAGCGCGTGCAGTCGGCGGAGAAGCTGGGGGCCTCGCTGGGCGGCGACAAGAAGGGCGCGCTGCGCAAACACAGCCTGGAGGTGGGCCACCCGGATTTCCGAAAGGACTTCCACGGCGAGCTGGCTCTGCATAGCCTCGCCGAGTCCGACGGCGAGACACCACCCATCGAGGGTATTGGGTCAACCAGGCAGGTCGCCGTCCGCCGCCTGGGCCGCCAGGAGTCGCCCCTGAGCCTGGGCGCGGACCCATTGCTGGCCGAGGGCACCCCCAGACCGCTGGCGTCCAGCAAAGAGAAGGAGTCACCAGGTGGCATGGAGGCCTGCACCCCACCCCGCTCGACAACCCCCGGGGGCCGAACCCTGGAGCGGGATTCCAGCTGCACGCGGCACCAGAGTGTGCAGACGGAGGATGGCGCGGGCGGAGTGGCCAGGGCTGTGGCCAAGGCTGCGCTGAGCCCGGTGCAGGAACACGAGACGGGCAGGCGCAGTAGCTCCGGGGAGGCGGGCACACCCTCAGTACCCATTGTCGTAGAGCCTGGGCGGCCGGGGGTCAAGGTCGAGGTGCCCCAGCCCCTGGGCACGGACTCCAAGGAATTGCAGGAACCTGCAGCCCCGGCGCCTGTGGCGTCAGAGGCCCCGAGGGGCCGGGAGCGCTGGGTGCTGGAGGTGGTGGAGGAGCGGACCACGCTGAGCGGGCCTCGCTCCAAGCCTGCTTCCCCCAAGCTCTCCCCGGACCCCCAGACCCCCACCCCAACCCCAACCAAGATTGCGCCCAGCAGCGCAAGCCCTATAGCCCCCCTCCCCTCCCTCTCGGTCCCAGGCACCAAGCCTGAAGTAGGGCCAACTTCCAGGTGCCCTGCTGAAGCTGTGCCTCCAGCAGGCCTGAGCAAAAAAGGGGCGCCCAGCCCCGCACCCCCAGGCCCATAGCCAATCAGGCCCTTGGTCCTGTGCTGTACAGCCTCCTGTATACATATGTACACATATAAATAAAGTGCGCCCGTCCAGCGTGAGCTTTGTGGGGCTCACCCTCTCTCCCCAGGCAAGGTGAAACATCAGATGTCCCTCTTCTACCTTCAGACCCCCGTGTCGGATGGGAGGGAGAACCCCAGTCCTGCTTACCATGAAGAGGGAAGTTGAGTTTTTGGTTGACCCTTACTATGGTCCACCCTCTTCCTGTCCCTAAGCTTTTGGAAGTGTTGCAGGGCTGGGCTGTGTCCCAGTGCCTACTTGAAGAAAAGGTTAATACAGCCTCATTCTGCGATTTTTTTCCTCAACAATCCCAAGTGCCAAATGTTATGATTCTCATTTTACAGATGAGTCGACCGAGCCATGGAAAGGTTAAGCCACGTAATTTAGATCACACCATTAGGAAGGGGCTGGAGCCAGATTCAAACTCAAGTACAAGGCTGGGGGAGTGCTCGTTTAGCATCGATGAGGCCCTGGGTTCCATCCACAAAAAACAGTTCAGAATGGTTCCCGAGCCTTAGTTCTTTGCTCTGCGGGTTTTCTAGGCCCTGTTGTCTTCCCTACAGGGCTCCCACGCCTTCACCAGGGGCTGGAAGGCCTTCCAGAGGGCTGGCAACCGGGCACAGAGTGTGCCTCCACCCCGGTGCTCTTCTCCTCGGTTGCGATTCATGTCTCCGACACAGGCCCAGGGCCCTTCTGGGGCCACACACCATTTGGAGTGGTCCTCTGTGGCACTGAAGGTTGGTCCGCTTGGCCCAGGGAAGCTTGTCTCTGTCACATCCAGAATCTGGTGGGTCCTGGAGCAGTTGGAAGGCAGGATGCCTGGAGAGTTTGGCCAGAATTGGACCTGCAAGTTGCTGCCTAGGGCTTCTGCCAACCAACCAGAGTACAGGTCTGCAGAGGATGGAAAGAGGGCATGGGTACGGGCAGGTCCTACTAGGGGTCCCTAGTGACCACTGTCCCTCTCTGAGGGAAATTGTGAGTTCTCAACAATTACGGAATGCCAACATTAACATAATAAATGCTTTATATGCATCTGGGAAGGTGAGAACTAGTATCCCCATTTTTTTTTTTTTTGGTAGTACTGGGGTTTGAACTCAGGGCCTCATGCTTGCTAAGCAGGAGCTCTACCACTTGAACCACTCCACCAGCTTTTTTTTTTGTGATGGGCTTTTTCAAGATAGGGTCTTGAGAAGTACTTGCCTAGGGCTGGCTTAGAACCATGATCCTCCTGATCTCTATCTGCCTCCTGAATAGCTTGGATTACAGGTGTGAGCCACTGGGGCTGGCAAGAATTCCCATTTTTCAGATGAGTAGACTGAGGCACAGTCAAATCATATATCACACACCCAGACACCAATATTTGAATCCACCTATGTTGCTTGTTTACCCTATGTCCTGGACACACCAGAAACCTCCCCATGCAAAGAAAGAGCTTTCCATTGCTCCACCTCAGGACTCACCATCTCCAAACTTTCCAGATTTGACAAAGCTCTGGAAGGTCGTCCCTGCCTGTGATGTGAGTGTTACACTGCTGTTCCAGGGTTTGTGGATGACATGGTGACCCTTGATGACCTCCTCCAGGTCAGGGAATTTCTGGGCAAAGATGCCTTCCAGCTTGTAGTCATAGACCAGGGGAAAGGTGTAGGTCAGCTGCTTGCCTGGAGGACAAAGGAAGGAGGAAGTATGGGAGCAGCTGTTTCTTTCTTTCTTTTCTTTCTTTCTTCCTTCCTGGCAATTCTAGGGATCAAACCCAGGACCCTGCACATTCAAGGCAAATGTTCTTCCACTGAACTGTAACTAGCCCCCTTGTTTTAGCTTTTTTTTTTTTTTGGCAGTACTGGGGTTTGAACTCAGGATTTTGCTCTTACTAGACAGGTGTTCTACTACTTGAGTCACTCCCAAGCCCTTTTTCACATGAGTTGTTTTTCAGGTATGGTCTCATGTTTTTGCCCAGGCCAGTCTCATACCTCAGTCCTTCTATCTATGGCCTCCCTTGTAGCTTGGATCAAAGGTGCACACCACCCCTCTGGGCTTATTAGTTGAGATGAGGTCTGCTAGTTTTTGGCTTAGACTGGCCTCAAACTGCAATCTTCTTGGATTTCTGCCTCCTGAGCATCTGGGATTATAGGCATGAGCCTCTGCACGGAGTATATCCTTGGTTTTTTGAGACAGTGACACTGATGGCTACTGTGTAGCCCAACTGGCTTCAAACTTGTGATCCTCCTGCTTCAGCTTCCCATGTGCTTAGATTACAGATGTGCACCACCACACCCATCCCTTCCAAGTTCTGATCCTTGAATCCAGGACTCACCCTGCCTCACTGATTCTACTCACCAATCCTTAGGAACTGGGTGAGGGGAAAGGACACGCAGAGTAGGGTCTGCCCGTAGGCTTGGGCATTATGAGGCCAGCTGTACGCCCCAGAGGAAGCAGTTGGAGGGAAGCGTGGCACGCTGTGGACCAGCCAGAAGCCCCCTTCCTGATCCAGAAGCAGGACACCTGAACCAGAAGAAAGGGTTTAGGGGGACTATTCAAGCCATTCCCCCTCAAGCAAACTCATCTGCCACCAGGAACATCCTGAAGTTTGCTGGAGGGGTTGGAGAAGGTGCAGGCTGGAAGGTCAAAGGTTAACCTAGGCAATTCGAGCCCCTCCCCAGCCACCAATCCAGAACTCCTCACCTTTGGTGTGTCCACGCCTGGAAGAGTCCTGAGCCTGGCTGGGTTGAGGCGGCTGGTCGTTGTAAAGCACAAAGGCGAGCTGCGGGAATGACAGGGACAACGTGAAGGTTTTCCCTCAGGTGGGGGGGGTCACCCCACGGTCCCACCCCAGGTTCTGCCCGCCGGGTCACCTGGCTAGAGTTGCTGCGGTACAGCGGCAGCAGCTGCGCCCCACGGCCCCGTTAGAACTGTTGATGGACCCCGCGCCATCGCGCCAACCCCCGGTGCTCTCGTCCATGTATTTGTAGCGCAGTCCTCTCATCGCCGCATCCCCGGACCCACTGACGGCTGGCAGCTTGTAGACTACGAACCTGGAGGTCGGAAAAGGCACAGAAATAAGTGAAAGGGAAGAGACGGAGCCACAGGCTTCACTGAGCACTGCAGCCATCCCGGGGACTCCCCGGCGCCGTGTCCCAGGCTCACCAGTTCACAGGCTGCCCGGAGTCCCCATGGCAGCTCAGGGCCTCAGACTTGGCGCACAGCAGCGCGGCCAGCAGCAGAAGGTTCAGTGTGGCCATGTGGCTGCAGGGAGGGGATCTGCCTCGGGACCTCAGGAGCCAGGTCACAAGCAGCTAGACGCTCTCACTTCCCCGAAACGCCCGCGATCCCGAGCCCGGACATCACGAGGGCGCAAACTCCACCCCGAGACCAGAGGCAGTGATTTGAAAAGACTCGGTCCTCTGGGGGCGGGGCTTCCCTTAAGGTGGCCCCGCGGGAAGCCCCGCCCCGTAGGCCACGCCCAGACAGGGCCAGCCCGGGGCCCTCCTCGGGCATCCCGCAGACTTCACCCTTAATAGATCCCGTCCGTGACCACGCCCTCTGTGGGTCAGGCCTTCCCTCCTCCGGCCTCTGATTGGGCCTTCCCAAGCCCCGCCCCTGCCTTTTTCTCTGTTTTGTTTTGAGACAGGGTCTCACCACGTAGCCCATGCTGACTGGGAATTTATGATCCTTCTGTCTCTGCATCCCAAGTGCTGGGATTACAGTACGCACCACCACACACGGCTGTCTCACACTTGTCAACACTGCGCACTTAAGGGTCGTTGATGGGGTTGGGGTGTGGCTGAAGTCACAGGAGCCTAGCAACTCCTAGGCAACTGTGAGGCCCTGAGTTCAAACCCTAGCGCTACCAAAATAAATAAATAAAATTAAAAAAAATTAATACCACAAAAAAAGGGGAGACTTAATGCTCCGTGTCCTCCCCCTTTCTGTTTTCTCGGACTACTCCCTTCTGTCCCTTCCAAGCTAGCCAAGAATGTGATGGAGATTTGGGACTGAGCTGAGGGCTCTCGAATGGTCGTGAAGGTCCCCAGGGTTCAAGAAAGAAGGCAGAATGGCGTAGTCTGCTAATGGTGAAGGGCAGTGGCGTGCGTGGGTCTGTAGTGACCGAGGGGAGGTCTTTGGAGGTGAGGTTTAGGAGATGAGGGTTGTATGCATCAAAATCACCTCTGGGGATTCAGCATCGTCCTACCTTCCAGGACCCTCCCCCCCCCACCCACAGAGACAGGCCAACACTGAAGCTTTATATGGGAGGGGCTTTCTTGTAAGATCCACAACCATTCACAGCTGATGTGGAGGCTGCAGAGTGTGAAGGGCCCTTCTGGCCCCAGGGTCTCTGGGAAACCTCACCCACCCCCCCCCCACCGTCCAGGGCCGCCTGCGAGCTGGTCTGAGGGTCCATCAGAGTCCGTTTACTTGGCAATCTTTCTCGCTGGGTCTGTGTGGCTCCTGTGACTGAGGACATGTGGAGGCACCCCCGGGGTTGTCTATGTGTCAGTTCTTGATCTGTCTTGGTGGATCTGTGGGGTCGCCAGCCCAAGCAAGGGTTCATCCCTGTGTGGATCCACTCTTGTTCTGTCTCTCAGTCCCTGGCAGGATCCAGGTGCCGGGGCAGAGCTCAAAGATGACGCTTCATGTGCAAGGCCAGGTGGTCAGAGCGGGAAAAGGCACGAGGGCAGAGTCGGCAGCGGAAGGGACGCTGACCTGTGTGCTTCCGGTAGTGGCGGGTCAGCTCATCCGAGCGCGCGAACCTCCAGCCGCAGCCATCCCAGGAGCAGGCATATGGCTTCTCCCCTAGGGGCGGGGAGGAGGGAGCAGTGAACGCCACTGTGCAAGCCACCCCATCCCTGCATCTGGCAGGGGACCTCTGTTCAGCCTGGACCAGACAGGGATGAGGCCAGTGACGGATCTAGGGCCTATCCTTTCTGCACTTAGGTTCTATCTCCCGTGCCTTTCTTCTCTTTACCAGTGGTCATGCCCTTTCTCATTTCCCGGGCTGGAGCTGATTCCTTGCACCACTGTACCCTGTCCCTGTGTCTTCCTTATTCGGCCACATTCCTGCCTCCTGTATTTCATTCAGTCCCTTCCTTGTGCAAGGGGACCCTCCAGCTATGTCCAACTTTGTCCCTGACCTTGATCTCTGAGCCCGGAAATTCACCCAAGTGACTGAAGTCACTATTTCTTTTTAAAAAATGATTTATTTATATTTGGTGGTACTGGGGTTTGAATTGAGGGGCCTCACGCTTGCTAAGCAGGCACTCTACCACTTGAGCCACTCCTCCACCAGTCCCTGAAGTCACTATCTCCACTGATTGGGCTCCCCCCTGCACGCTGGAGACAGGTGTATACATCCGGCCCCACCCCTGTCTTTCTCTATGCCATCTGTCTCCCAGATCGTCCTTCTTTCCCTCTAGGCCTGCCTGTATGTCTGGAGCCCTTCCTCAGTGAGCCACCCTGAAACTCACTCTGCCTGGGCTTCTCACCCTTTGGTTGCAGCCACGCCTCCTAGGCGCCTGGCCCCGCCTCCATGCCAAGCAACCTTGCACCAGGAAGTATTGGCCTATATGAGCCCCTCATAGGCCGCAGTCCCTCCCCCCAGCTCCGCCCCTTATGCTACCGTTCTGCTTTCTGAGGCTCAGCCCCCAGCACTGAAGCGATCCTCAGGTTTTCTAGGTCCTTTCTGTCCCCTTCGCCCTCTGCGTCACAGTCCTGGACTGTGGTCCCGCGCTTGAGATTCTAGGACCCCTCCATGCTCGCTTCGCCCTATCCCTTGCTCAATGACTCTGCCTTTATCCCCGCCTCTGGCGTCTTAAGCCCGCCCCCTGGCCGGGACTTTGCTTTAGCCCCTCCCCTTGCTCTTGGTTTTCTGCTCCCGGCCTCTCTGCGCTCCCAGGCTCCGCCCCCGTCCGATCACAGACCACGCCCCCGGCCATGCCCCCTTACCCGTGTGCGTGCGCAGATGCGCTTTCAGGTGGGAGCTCTTGGTGTAGCTCTTGCCGCAGCCCGGGTGCGCGCACGTGTGCACCGCCTGCTTCTTGCGCGCCCACGAGCGCCGGCTGCGTTTGGTGGGCCCGGCTTCTGAGATGGCGCTTGTGTCTCCTGCTGTCCCCTCGAGTCCCGCGCCCACCGTACCGGGTCCCAAACAACTCAGGAAGGAGGAGGGCGCGGCGGGACCGGCCGAAGGCGCCGGGAGCCCGCGGAAGAGCTGGAAGTGGCCTTGGTACTGCTGCGCCGGGTACAGCGAGGGGTACCCCGACAGCATCCCGTAGGGGGCGCCCGGCGCCGCAGGCACCGAAAGCCCGGGTCGCGGGAAGTAGCTACCCGAAGATCCCGCACTGGACTCGGGATACACTGGCTGCAGTGCCAATCCCTTGAGCTCGGGTGCCGGGGCCAGGGCTGGGGCCACGAAGGGGTCAGGGGCTGGGGCTCGCGGGGCAGGGTGCACCCAGCCCGCGTGCTCCTCGGGACCCAAAAGCCCAGCCGTCAGCCCCGGGGCGCCCGCATAGGCGCCCAGAGTCTCGGGCGGCGGTGGGTATTGTGCCCCTGGGCCCACGCAGGGCGCCAGAGCATAGGTCCGGGGCACGCCGCCCGGCTCCAGGCCCGGGATGTGGGTGAGGAAAAGATCCCAGGCGGAGGCCGCGTCCCTCTCATCGTCCTCGTCTTCTCCTGGAGGGTCCTCTGACTTCAGGCTCGCGTGAAGGGGCAGCCCCGTAGGATCCGGGGGACCCGGGCCCATGTCCTGCGTCTCGTCCGAGCGCCACCACTGCGGGAGGGAGCGCACAGCGTGAGGCTTCCCCGGATACCGGGGTACCTTGACCAGGACAGTACCGTCCAGACACCCTGATGGGGCAGAGGCTGGCCAGAGGCTTCAGAAAGGGGTCTTGTTTGCCTATCGCTCCCCTCACATTGCCCCTCTAACCCTCCGTCAGCTCGAGACAAAGATCCACCAGGTCTGGCTGGAGACCCGAGATAAGACTTCCATTATCTGAAACCACATTCAGGATGGGGGAAGGGGTGGCAGAGCTGGGGATGGGAGGCTGGGGTGGTGGGGGGGGAACAACCTAGCCTTGACTCAGTTCCCTTTCCCCAGATCCTGTCTCTCCTTTCTCATCTCTGAACAAGATGAATCCCCCAAGCTTGGAGATTCCCCCGGCACCTTTACCATTTCCCAAAGATACCTGAGACTTCGCTCCTCTGAGCCCAGGTCCATGCTGCAGTTCAGCTCAGAACGTTTTCTTTTTATTTATTTTTAAACAAGGCCTCACTGTGTAGCCCAGGCTGGTCTCAAATTTATAATCCTCCCGCCTCAACCTTCCAAGAGTTGGGATTACAAGCATACTCCACCAAACCTGGCTCTGTAGCTCAGTTTTCTATGGTAGAATAAAACTAGGCGCCACCTAGAGCCCCAAATCCCTAGACCCCTCCTAGACCAGGCTTTGACCCTGACCTGGACAGCAGAGAAAACCAAGGAAACTTGGTTTCCTTGGCCAGAACTCCAAGCTCTGTGGCCATAGCCCTGGCTCCCAGCCAGCCTACCTGGACCCCACCTGGCCCCACCTTAAGGAAGTCCTCCTGGGTGTCTGGAAATGGGCCCAGGGTGGTCAGCATGCTGATGGAGGGCAAGGCAGTCTCAGCTGTAGCCATGGCTGGCTGGTGCCCACCCTGGGCCTCAGACGTCCTCTCCCTTGGCTGCCTCGTGGGCTCTGTGTCTCTGAGGGCCCCTTGGAGGGCTCCTCTCTGCCCTCAGCTGATTGGTTGCAGCCTCTGATAAGGCACAGGCAAGGCGGGGGTCACTGTTTCTGGGGAACAGACCTCATTTTGGCCTATTTGGGGCTGGACCTTAAAGACTGACCCTGTATCCAAAGCCAAGTCAGATGTCAGGAGTTGGGGGGCTCCAAGGTTGGAGATTCAAGGACTGGGTAAAGAGGTGCTGAGTCTCCAAACCTTGGGAGGGGTCTGCTCTCAGTCTACCATCTTTGGAGAAGGGGCAACAGGAAGGATGGGTATTTGGAGAAGGGGCTGTGGGAGCCCCTAATCCTCCCCAACTGGGGCTCTGCAGCCTTCCCCCTCCTCAATAAACAGAACAACGGTAGGTACTGATGGCGGGACTTGGCACAGACTCCCTGCTGGGTATTATCAGGCATGCCAGATGTTGGAGGCTGCTATCAGGTGGGGACCCAGAACAGCCAAAGCTCTGTCCCCTGGTGAGTGGGAGGCTGGGGGTTGGGCCCACAAGTGAGCTTGGCTTTAAAATGCCTGGGTTGTGAACTCCCAGCATCTGAGTCCTGTGGCAGAAGGGAGCCATGGTGGGCGCTGTCATCTGTGGAGGATGGGGGTGGGATTACAACTCCTGGATGGAATGCGACAGTTGGATGAAGCCACAGATGGTATCTGCACAACAGGAGATCCACACCCCGCCTCTGGGCCTGACTGCTGCTGGATTTGTACCACACGTGGGCAAGCACAAGAGAGCCCTCCACTCTGGTGTCCTAGCAGGCTGGGGAAGGAAAGTGGACACATCACAGACACATAGTTCATGGTCACATACAGCCATGCAATTCCATAGTGACACCAGTTCCCTCAGTCACCAAGACCGTATGGTGTCTACACATACACAGTGGGGCCTCGAGATCCACAGGGGATTGGTTCAGGACCCCTATGGATAGGAAAATTCTCGATGTTCAAGTCCCTTACAGAAAATGGTGTAGTGTTTGCTTAGAACCTACACATATCCTCTGGGGACATTAAGTCATCTCTAGATTAATTACAATTGTAACTTACTGTTGTGTAAACAGTTGTTTGACTGCTTTTGCTGAACTGTGTACAATATAGGGACTGTAATCCTGCCAGCACAGAACTCGTAATGATACACAGTTGCACAATCCACTGATACAGTTTGGCCACAAGGAAGCAGACACATGGGAATTCCTGGATAAGTTGTCACCTTAACTGGAACGTGAAGTCACACAACCTCATCACACAAGGCAACTTCAGACACAAAAACATAAAAGACGGCCTCGCACTACTGTTCACGTGCAATGATGCAGACACACACAGCTGTACATTATAAAATCACACAGGGCACCATCCAGAGCCAATGCTTTACACAGTCACCACCTGCCACTGTCACACTGCAATTACCACATAATTACACACCTACCAATGCCCAACCATAGGGGGTGCAGCAGGTCAAGTTCAGGCAATCTCAGGGTCATGGATTCACACAGCCTGATGGTTAAGGGCGTGAAAGCTCACTTAGGCATCACATCACCTGCATCACATACACAGATGAAAAATGTAGTGTGTATTGTGGGAGAGGAGGGTAAAAGCCAGCTGGATACAACTTCTAGGATGGCTCTGACTAAAAAAGGAAGGGGGGCTGGAAATGAAACTCACTGGTGGAGCGCTTGCCTAGCATTTGCAAGGCTCTGTGTTCCATCCCCAATACCACAAAAACAAAACAGGAGTAATGAAAAATAAAAAAGTTCATATTGGGCATCTGGTGTGGTGGCGCCCACCTGTAATCCCAGCACTTGGGAGGCTGAGGTAAGAAGATCACAAGTTTGAGGCCAGCCTGGGCTACATAGCAAGATACTGTCTCAAAAAAATATTTTTACGATACGCAAATTTCACCTCAATAAAACACACTGGCTGGGATTGGAGTAGTTTTCTAGAGAGAAAAGCAGTTTCTCTCTAGGAGAGGTCTCCCTGGTTTAGGATAAGGCACTTCCCAGGCATGTGGACTCTCCATGGTGAGGCAGGGGACAAGGGTCTGTGGTCTAGGGTGGCATTTGGCTGGAAGAGATGATAGTCTTCAGCAGCAGCAAAGTCTGAGCCTCGATTTGGGTCTCCTCGCATGTATTTTAGCATCCTAATGTATATGCAACACGAGAGAACTCTAACACAGACACACAGTCAGAATGGCACTGTAAAAGCTTACAGCTACACAGACAAGAAACCATGAAGACTTCAGCCATTCAGACCCAGGCACAGGCAATTTACACAGGCATATAACCTCCCACAGCCAACGGAGACACAGAAACACACAGTCACAACACAAGCACTCTTAAAAACACTCAGAAGCCATCATCTACAGATGCCGGTCTTCTCCGATAGACTCCTGTGTTCACAGTCACCACAGAACATGAACATACAAACGTACTGATAAAGGTGTTTTGTAACGTCACTGAGGCTTGACCTCAGGGCCTCCTGCTTGCCCTGAGTAATTTCACCAGTCCTAAACTTTTTTTTTTTTGGTGGGACTGGGATTTGAACTCAGGGTCTCACATTTGCTAGGCAGGTGCTCTACCATTTGAGCCACTCTGCCAGCCCTTTTTTTGGGGGAGGGGGGATACTGGAGTTTGAACTCAGGAACTTCACCTTGAGCCACTCCACCAGTCCTTTTTTGTGATGGGGTTTTACGAGATAGGTTCTCAAGAACTATTTGCCAAGGCTGGCTTTGAACCTCGATCCTCCTGTTCTCTGCTTCCTAAGTAGCTAGGATTATAGGCGTGACTCACCGGCACCCAGCTCTGCTAACCCTTTTTTGTGTTGACATTATGACATTTACAAAAGTTCTTACAATATATCATAGTTGAATTTAAGCCTCTTGTGTTGAGTATTTTTCAGATAGGGTTCTGGAACTATTTGCCCAGGCTGGCTTGGAAACGCGATGCTCCTGATCTCTGCCCCCTGAGTAGCTAGGATTACAGGCGGGAGCCACAGGCGCCAGGCAGCCCTTACCTTTTTAAAAAATTATATTCATATGTGCATACATTGTTTGGGCCATTTAGCCCTTGCCTTTTTAAAAGTTTTTTTTCGTTTTGTTTTGTTTTTGAGAGAGGATCTCACTCAGTAGCCCAGGCTGTCCTTAAACTCGTAATCCTCCTCCTTCCTAAATGGCAGGATTATAAGCATGTGCCACCATGCCCAGCCTAAAGATGACTATTAACAGGATCACACCTACATACAATTACATGGTTGAAACAATCAATCCCACAAAACCACACTCTCAAACTCACACGACATGCTGGACGCATGGATCAGGTGGTGGAGCCCCTTCCTAGCAAGTGCGAACCCCGAAGCCCTGAGTCCCTGAGTTCAATGCGCCGGGAAGGGGGGGAGTGGGAAGGGGGGAAGAAAGAGAGAGGAGAGGAGAGGAGAGAGGAGAGAGAGAGAGAGAGAGAGAGAGAGAGAGAGAGAGAGAGAGAGAGAGAGAGAGAGAGAGAGAGAGAGAGAGAGAGAGAAACTTTAAACTGACAAACTTTCCAGAGAACATAATACATAATACCCCACAGACACACAGAATGACACCAGAGCACATACACAGAGTGTAGCTGGCACGTGTTTCCTGGGATAGACTGGCAGGTGGGTTAGACCGGCATCACCCACTTGCGGCCCACCCTTCCCTCCATCAACACCCCATTAAAGGTCTGCCCTCTTGGGTTCCAGGACTATTTCTTGTGCCTCATTTTTTTCATTTAACTTTGCGATCCCTCTGCACACGCCCTCTCCAACTGGCTAACCAGGAGAGGGCCGAGCCTGAGCCAATCAGAGCTGGAATGCAGCTGACCAATCGGATTGGCGCACTCGCCTTCCTCCCCCTTCCGGCGTCTGCTTCTTAAAGGAATCAACATGCCTGGGCCTGGCGCTTTGGTCTCCACCAACAGGGCCGCCGTAGCCCTTTTAACAAAAACAGACCCACTGAGGAGCTGTCCTGACATTAACCAATGAGAAGCCCCATTGTGCCTCCGCTCCGCCCACCTCCTGTTTCGGTCAAATGCCTTGGTCAGTTGCTCTCAGCGCCGGAGGCACCAGGTAGGGAGAGCGCCTGGGACTGTGGCGGTGACTGGGAGCCGCTAGGCCCTGACGCCCCCTCTTCTAGGTCGCCTAGTTGCAACGCTCGCTGACGGCATGGCCCTGAGAGGCATCTCCGTGCGGCTGCTGAGCCGCGGGCCCGCGCTGCGCATCCTGCGCACGTGGGGCTCTGCGGCGGCGCAGACCGGTCAGTGCCGGGCCTTGGGTGGGGTGGGGAGAAAGTAGAGACTCGGGGACTTTCCCATTCTGTGTTTGCAGAGAAGGGCGGGAGGACACAGAGCCAACAGGCCAAATGTAAGGAACCCTGGTCGCACCGTGGGTCCACGACTCCTGTCCAGCTGTCTGTCGGCCCCCCGGTGGACTCTGTCTCTGAATCCGAGGGCTGCCCCGGAGGGGAGGCAGGCCCGTGCTCGGGGTCAGAGGCAATGAAGTAGTGGGTGTCTGTCCCGACAGGGCCGCACAAGGATCGCCTTTGTCAGACCTGTTTTTATGGGGTGAAGGGTGCAGTGGTGGGGTGGGGTGGGCTGGGCTGGGCTTAGTCGAGTCCCCGACTCCCCGCCCCAGCCTCCCGTCCCGCGTTTGACTGGCGGGATCCGCTGGTGCTGGAGGAGCAGCTGACGGCAGATGAGATCCTCATCAGAGACACCTTCCGCAACTACTGCCAGGAGCGACTCATGCCTCGCATCCTGCTGGCCAATCGCAATGAAGGTGCCCAGGCCTGAGGGCGGGTGCCTTGGGGCTCCCCACACACACTGGGTCTGCACCCTCTGCCATTGACACCAGCTGTGCCTGCTCTTGCCTGGGGCCCCGCTGGCCGTGGAGCTGGGGCTGGGCTGACCAGGGCATCTGTCCCTTTGCAGTTTTTCATCGGGAGATTGTCTCTGAGATGGGGGAGCTGGGTGTGCTGGGACCCACCATCAAAGGTACGATCAAGTTTCTCTACACACTTTGCAGATCTCACTGTGTCCTGAAAAGCCCCCTCCTTTCTCTGAGCCACAGTCTCGTTTGTTTTTGCGGTTCTGGGTATTGAACTCAGGGCTTTCAGTGTGCTAGGCAAGTGCTCCACCGTTTGAGCCACGCCTCCAGCCCTCAGCCACAGTTTTTGTGGGGATGAAAGAATTAACCCCCAGCCAGGCCCAGCTCCATGCCTGCCTCCTTAAGTACTCCATTCCAGATCTGACTCTTGGACTTTAGGACTTCCTGGTCTCAGACAGGTTGGGCTTTGGCCCCTATTGTCCTGCCTGTCCCTCCTCCACTACCCCCAGGTTATGGCTGCGCTGGGGTCTCATCCGTGGCCTATGGGCTCCTGACCCGAGAGCTGGAACGGGTGGACAGTGGCTACCGGTCCATGATGAGTGTCCAGTCCTCCCTTGTCATGCACCCCATCTACGCCTACGGCAGTGAGGAACAGCGGCAGAAGTACCTGCCTCGGCTGGGTGAGCAGCTGCCCATGGGATGTGAGGGAAGGAACACAGACTGTGATCAGCACTACAAATGTGGCTGTGCCCCAGGCCCACCCTCTTTCCCCATCTCACCAGTGGCCGGCCACCTGGGCCGCTGCCAGGCCCTGGGTGGGTCTCACTCAAACATCTGATCCCTTGCCAGCACTGACCTTCCTTCTGCTCAGCTCTCTCTCTCTCTCTCTCTCTCTCTCTCTTTTTGGTAGGACTGGGGTTTAAACTCAGGGCTTCCTGCTTTCTAGGCATGCGCCTCCAGCCCCTCTGTCTCTCTTGGACTCCATATCTCCCTCCTGATTGTGCTCTCTGCACTCTACATCCCAGTCCAAAGTTGAAAGTCTTAACTTCCTCACTGGGCCTATGAGGCCCTGTGTGACTAGGGCTCTGCTGACTTTTCCCCACATCACGGCCATTCTTTTGATGGCTCTTCCCCACTCAGGATCAGCTACTTGGAATTCTCCAAATAGACACTGGGCCTTTGCACATCCTGTTCCCTCTGCCAGGTCCACTATTCCACACATCTTTCTCCTGCTTAACTACTGTTCAAGTGCCCTTCAAGTCACTCTTGTCAACTCCTTCCTGACTTCATGGGCCCCCTCCCATCATGGAACTATGATTATGGCCTGGGGGACTGTTTCCTCCACCACCTGTGCCAAGATCTGTCTTGGTGGCAAGGCCTGGCTGAGTGGGGAAGCTGATCTGTTTTCAGGGGATGAGTGGGGGACCAGCAACCTCATGACCCTGTCTTGTGCCTACAGCCAAGGGGGAGCTTCTGGGCTGTTTTGGGCTCACAGAGCCCAACCACGGGAGTGACCCTGGAAGCATGGAGACCAGAGCCCACCATAATCCATCAAGCAAGAGCTACACCCTCAGTGGCACCAAGACCTGGTGAGGGGCCAGGACCTGGTGAGGGGCCAAGACCTGGTGACAGGCTAAGGGGTGGACAGGGATACGAGGCAGCAGCCTGACTCTTCAATAACTGTCCCACCCCCAGGATCACCAACTCACCTGTGGCTGACCTGTTTATAGTGTGGGCCCGGTGTGATGATAACTGTATCCGGGGCTTTCTGTTGGAGAAAGGGATGCCAGGCCTCTCGGCCCCCAGGATCGAGGGCAAGTTCTCCCTGCGGGCCTCAGCCACAGGCATGATCATTATGGACAGTGTGGAGGTGCCAGAGGAGAACGTGTTGCCCAATGCGTCCAGCCTGGCGGTGAGTGGCAGACACCTTGGGCACTGGTGTCAGGTCACCTGCTGGTTTGTCTTAGGTGGGGACCAAATGGACATGGTCCCTGTGCTTGTGGAGGGACACACAGTGAGGCTTCTGAGGCTCAGCCTGACTCACTTGTGCTCACTGCCCCTTTTTGGTGACAATCTGACTCCTATTGGCTCTGCCCTGGACACATGGGGCCTGAACCAGCTTCTGCCTTGCACATCTAGGCATCTTCCTGTCTCCTTCCATCAGCCTCTAGGCCTGAGCACTGAACCCAGGTCCCAGGCTGAGTAGGATTGGGTAGGATTGCAGAGTGAGGTCTGTAGGCTTGAACTTTGTGTGTGACTTAAACAGCCACCAGGTTCCCATTTGGAGCACGGGGGAGGGGGTTTCCTGTTTGAGAGTTGGTTCTGTCCAGGCCCTCTCAACATCTCCTGGATGGGCTGATGTCCTGTCAACCCACAGGGTCCGTTTGGCTGCCTCAACACCGCTCGGTATGGCATCACGTGGGGAGTGCTGGGAGCCGCTGAATTTTGTTTGCACACAGCCCGGCAATATACCCTGGACAGGTGTGTGTGGGATCTTGGGGTCTATCCCAAAGGTGACTCCAGTGCCCACCCACTAGGCCTGACAAGTCCTTCTGAGCAGTGAAGGGCTGGGTGAAGGGCCAGGGTGAGCTCAGAAGCACTGAGGCAGCTGGGAAGGTGTCCTGGAGCATCAGGGCCTGGGGATGGAGCAGCAGTCCTCCCTCTAGCCCTCACCTGACCTTCCTGTCCAGGATCCAGTTTGGCGTTCCCTTGGCCAGGAACCAGCTGATCCAGAAGAAGCTGGCGGATATGCTCACTGAGATCACGTTGGGCCTCCACGCATGCCTGCAGCTCGGCCGCTTGAAGGATCAGGACAAGTAGGGGCTGCATGTGAGGGGAGGCTGCTGTGGTGGGAGGACCCTGTGCCCCTCTAGCAGAAGGTCCTTCCCAACTGCTGGTCCTAGGGACTTCTGCTTATCTGCCTCTTGGTCATCATGGGCTGGATCAGGGATGGCCTCGCCAGTCCCTTACTGGGAGCTCAGCAAGCCACCTAACTCCCCACTCCAATTGCCCAGAACATGGGGTATTCAGTGTTTGTTACATATATGTGTCACTTCCAGGGCCACTCCGGAAATGGTCTCCCTACTCAAGAGGAATAACTGTGGGAAAGCCTTGGATATTGCCCGCCAAGCACGAGACATTCTAGGGGGGAATGGGATTTCTGATGAGTACCATGTGATTCGGCATGCCATGAACCTGGAGGCTGTGAACACCTATGAAGGTGGGGGCTGGGGAGGTACCAGTGGCCTTGGGGTCTATGGGAACAGGACCCCAAGTGGGTAGGGGCAGGGCTCACGCACTCGAGTTCTTTTTCAGTTATCACCAAGTGGTGGTGTGACCTGGGGCAAGTCATACCCTCTGTCCCTAATCTGGAGTTTCTCACCGGGGACTAGGACTGAAGTGCTTCATGCGCTACACTGAGGCCCCATCAGGCCCTGCAAGGTGCTCCTAGCCCTTTCTCTCATTGTGCTGGGGAGGAGGAACATTCCTAAGACCTAGGAGTGGTCTCCATGGGCATCCCCCAGAGAGAGAGTGAAGTGACACATGGAATCACCCCTCCATTTTATGATCAGAGGAAAAACGATACGTCACTTGTAGATTGTGGTGTTAGCACCTCGAAGCTGGTTGTGACACACAGGGCCTGGGCTCCTGGCTTGGTGGGAAGGAGAACATGGAAAAAAAGAATTAAAAAGGAAAGAAAGGGATAGGCATGGTGGCACATGTCTATAATCCCCACTACTCAGTAGGTAGGAGGATTGAGGTCCAAGGTCAGCCTGGGCAAAAGTACAAGGCCTTATCTGAAAAGGAGACCAAAAATTCAAAGGGCTGGCAGAATGGCTCAAGGGGTAGAGTGCCTGCCTTTGCAAGGCAAGGCCCTGTTTCAACCCCCAGTACAGCCAAAAAAGATAAAGTTCTGTGTAGTACGAGCCACATAGAAATTAACAGGATATTAGCTCCCAGGCACAGAAAAGTGCATGTGCAGAAGCAGATGTCTTTCCTAGGAGCCCCAGTGACTAAGGAACTGAAACAAGGGGAGGCCTCACACCCCAGTCTTATTTCTGTCAGGCTACAGGATAGAACACTCTGAAAACAGTGAGTGGAGGTCCTACATTGAGAGGATGACCCTGGGGACAGGCAGGGGCCTTCCCATGGTTTTATGTAATAGGAACAGGTCAAATTTGGGCTTTAGGAGGTACATGGAGCTGTATGATGCTCCAGGGAGGTCTCTGCCTCCTGTCCCTGGAAGTGAGAGTGGACAGGAAGGAATGGAGTGAGCAGCTCCAGGATAGGCAGCCTGGGGGTGCGGTCAGTGGTGACAAGTGTTGGCTTTCTAGGGAGTTTGCTTTCTCATCCCTCCCGTGATGAGAAAGCACCACTATGTTTCCAAGTGGCTGATTGGCTCTCAGCCTCTGTGGGAAGAAGTGTCACAGAGTTGATTAGCAAACATTTAATCAACTGTGCAGATGTGGGGTGGGGTGAATTTGTAAATGTAGGGAGTGCTAAGACTGGGTCCATGGCAGAAGCTAGACTTGCTGCATTTTGGGGCTTAGCACAAGGAACTTGGGGTGGCTTTTTGTCAAGTTGTGTTACAAAACTGTAAAAAACCCACTTTTCTCAGCATGGCCTGAACAGTGGCCTCTGAGCTTCTTCTTAGTGGCTGTCACTAAGATGTGAATCTTCCAGCAGTGGTCAACATTCATCATCCTTGTAGGTCTGTTCTTCTGAACTGGTAGCCTAAAGAGACATGAAGGTTGAGTGTTTATTTATTTTGGTGGTACTTAGCACTGAACTCAGGGCCTTGCACTTGCTAGGCAAGCGCTCTACCACTTGAGCCACATCCCAGCCCTGAAGATTGACGGGAAATGAGGAGCTGTTAAGACTCCAGACTGACTATTATAATCTTGTCCAGGTACACATGACATTCACGCTCTGATCCTTGGAAGAGCAATCACGGGAATTCAGGCGTTCACAGTTGGCAAGTGAACTCACTTCACAGGGGGTTCCAGATGCTCCAAAGCTCCTTCCTAGAGAGATGCTTGGCTGGACCCTGGGACCACCATCAGGAGGTGGACAGACCCAACTATTTTTGGTGAGAAGAGAGAGACACTGACTTTTAAATATGGAAGTTTCCCACAGGAGCACATTAAGATGTGCTCCTTCAAAAGAAGATTGGAGGCAGGCTGGCAGAGTGGCTAGAGCGGCAGAGTGCCTGCTTAGCAAGGGTGAGGCCCTGAGTTCAAATGCCAATACTGCCCCCTCCAAGAAAGACTAAAAGAAGATGGGATTCTTTGGCATTTTTAAATCCACTTCTAACTAACTTGATGAGATCAGCCTCCATTTACCTTAACACAGAAGGTTCCTGGCTGGGGAGCAGAGAGAGGGAGGGAGAGGGACACTGAAGCACTTCAGCAAGACTGCCCTGGAGTGGGCAAACAGACCCCTGAGAGGGTATATCTGAACCCACCGTGTGCCTTGCCTCCCATCCCTGAAGCTGTGCCTTATTTACACTGGAGCAGTTGGAGGGGGAAGAAATAAAGAACCTGCGCCTCCAACCCCATGGTGTTGGGCCACATTTACTGATCACCACTGAGAAGTGGCTTCTGGAGTTTCTCATGGGAGAGATGAACAAGCCTGGGGGCTGTATATTACTGGGCAGGATGGGGACTGCGCTGGGGTGGTGTGGCCCATGTCTGAGTCTTAGGCTATGCTGTGATCAATAAAGCCAGGTTAGGTCCCTCTGGCTATGTGCCAGGGCTGCAGGGCTGAGGGCTGTGGGTGGAAGAGACAGTTTCTGACTGGCAGAGGTACATTCTGTCACCACATAGCCGACCACATGACAATGGGAAATGGAAGTTGTTTAGACACACTATGTGACAAGGGCTTCTCACCAGTGTTCCTGTTCCCCACGGCTAGAGTGCGGCTCAGTGGTAGAGTGCGTGCTTACCTCACACGAGTCCCTGGGTGCCATCCCCAGTACTGACAAAACCCTGGTCCTGTTTACATTTACTCTCATTTGAACCAACACCAGTCCCCTCCCTCAGAGGAACCCCCAACCCAGCCCTGCCACAGCGTGGCGCCTACCTCAGGTTGGACGCACAGGTCTTTGTACACGGACTCCACGGTATGGCAGACTTGTCTGAGCTCTGTCTCCAGGTGGCTGATGGTTGCAATTTTCTGGGTGAACTCTTGGAGCCGCTCTTGAATGATCTTGCTGTGGTGGTTGTAAACCTGGTACATCCTCTCCTCTAACTTCTCTGTCAGATCTGAGACCTTTCAAAGAAGCAGTATTCTTGGAAAATCAAGCAAGAGACATCATAGGAAAAGTAAAAAGAAATGCAAAAACAAAACAAAACAAAAAACTGCCAAGAGACGTCACCAGACACCCATTCTAAGTGGAGCCCTTAGAATCCTATAAGTTATCTTATTGAAACGCTACAAAGAACTCCAATGACTGGCAGTAAAATTACTTTTATGTTAAATTATTTTTATTTTTGTTTTTTGGTAGCACTGAGATTTGAACTCAGGGTCTCATGCTTGCTAGGCAGGTGCTCTTACTACTTGAGTCACTCTGCCAGCCCTTTTCTTGTGATGGTTTTTTTCGAGATAGGGTCTCACAAATGAATTGCCCAAGGCTGGCTTTGAACTGCGATCCCCCAGATCTCTGCCTCCTGAGTACTTAAGGTTACAGGTGTGAGCCAGACCCAAATAAATTCTTTTTTTCTAAACCAAGATGTGAGAATTATGTATAATTTTGGCCCTTCATGTCCATAGGTTCTATATCAGGATTCAATACCATGGACCAAAAATACTCAAAAAACTTGTACTGAACATCTGTAAACTTTTTTCTATTCATTATTCCCTAAACAATAGAGTAGAACGACTATTTCCGTAGCATTTACCTTGTATTAGTATTATAAGTCATCTAGGATGATTTAAAGTCAACAGGAGGATTTGCATAGGTTCTGTACAAACACTATGCCTTTTTTTTTTAATTGTTTTGTGGCAGGGTCTCCCTATCTAGTCCAGGCTGGCCTTGAACTCTTGATTCTCCTGCCTCAGTCTCCTGAATGCTGGGACTACAGGTGTGTACCACCACGGCTAGCACAATATGCCATATGATATAAAGGACATGGATCCTAAGGAACAACTATATTTAATTAGAAACAAGGTTTGGCTGAGGTAGCACTGGTGCAGGTCACAGGCTCTGCTGACTATATTCACCCTTCAGAGGCATCAGATAAAACCATTAGTACCAGGTATGATCACAACACCAGGCTTCGTTAGAACCCCAGGCACGCTTTGTCCCTCATTCATCTCTCCCATCTGAGGGCACATGCAAGTGACGGGGCTGGGGCAGGCCTTTTCATGCAGCTGGACCTTGGTTCCTGAGCCTGGCTCCCTCATGCAAATAAATTACTTTTTACTTACTTTTTTGTGGTGTTGAGGGGTTAAACCCAGGCCCTTTTACATGCTAGGCAAGTACTCTATCACTGAGCTACACCCCCAGTCCCAATAATCTAGTTTTGTTTCTTAGTTTCCTCATCTGTGAAATGGGTCCAGTCTCTCCACTGTTGTCAGGGAGAAATGAGGCACTGTGCAAATCGCCTCACAGGGCTCCTGGAACATAACATGTCCAGGGACAGGTCCTCCCTCCCCTTTTACATAAGGACGCCTCCCCTCCTGCTGAGAGGAGTCCTTCACCTTGATCTTGAGGCTGTCCCTGAAGTTGGTCATGAGTGCGTGGTCCTTCTGCCTGCTCTCATTGATGTTCTCAATCAGCTCCTGGGCTCTCTTCTTCAAGATGTCAATGCTGGACTCCAGAGAGTAAAAGTAGGGTCCTGACTTCCCTTCCAGCTCTGGCTGGCGGTTGACACTGAAGGTGGAAAGACAGGGTTGAAACTTGACTTTGAAAGTACAAGACACAGATCAGCACTGGACGCTTCCAAGAGCAGATGATCTGGGCTAATACAGCACATGCTCAGCAAGCAGGAGGCCCTGGGTTCTATCCTTCCCATCCCCCAAAAGAAATATTTTTTAAAAATTTTAAGCTAGGTGTCAGTGGTTCACTTCTGTAATCCTAGCTACTTGGGATGCTGAGATCAGGAGGATGGCAGTTCACGGCCAGCCCAGGTAAATAGTTGGTGAGACTCCATTTCCAAAATAACCAGAGCAAAATGGACTGGAGGTGTGGCTCAAGTGGTAGAGAGCCTGCTTTGCAAGTGCGAAGTTCAGGCTGGCTTGTCCTTCTGTCTAGGCCTTCTGAGTGCTGGGATTGCAGGTGTGGCCACCACACCTGGGTTTCTCCTCCCTCTGTTTATATCTTTAATCTGTCCCTTTGGGCTGGCTCTTTCCCCTTGGCATAAGCTATTCAAAGACACACACACACACACACACACACACGCCTCCACTCAACCCTAGGTCTCCCTCAGTCAACCACCTACCTCTTTTCTCCCTCACAGCCAAAGTTCTAGAAGGGGCTGTCTAAACCTGCTGAAACAGCACCTGCTAAGTGAAACAGCACCTGCTAAGCTGTTTCATTTGACAAGCTCATGACCTATGGTTAGACCAATGGACATCTTGGCTGCTGACCACTGTCCTTGCCATTTCCAACTTGTCCCTGGGGCCTGTGCTTGGGCCTCTGTCTTTCCTGGGCCCTTCCTGGACACCTGGCTTCCCACCCTTGCTCTGCACCAAGGCCCTGCAGATCTCCTTCCTCCTTGCAGGCCCATTCAGCTACTCTCCTGCCTGCCTCTCCACAAGGCATCACCTGTCCTCCAAAGGCATTCTTGTAGCCTGGTGTGCCTGGGAAGTACCTTTTCCCAAAGTCCCAGATAAGTTCTCCTAGTTGGGCACCTACATGTGACTGTCTATGCCCTAGCCTTCCCCTCAAGACTCTGGAGCTCTAGGCCTATGTCTCATTCATTCCTGTCATTCATGGGAGGAGCAATAATTATGTGTCAAATAAACAAATGACTCCTGAGAGCTTCCATTACCATATGCATTTTGGTGACTGCCCCCCAAGTTTATCACTCCCAGCTCATGCCTCTTTCCTGAGCTCCCAGTGACGATGTGTCTACCTCCTACCCTCTTTGCATTGCTGTCCAAAGGCATCTCAAACTCTGCCTTTGCACACCAACCTCATCACCTTCTCCCAGCTGGATTTCATTCTCCCGCCTCTTAGCAAATGACACAAAAAGCCACCTGGTCCCCAAGCCAGAATCCTAACAGTCAGCTTGGAGTCTGCCTTTTCTGTCCCTCCACATCCTCTCATTTCTTCCTCCTTAAACTCTCTCCAATCTATTATCCTGTGAGGCTCTATGCCTGTCATTTCTCAAGTGGGTCCTCGTGCCGTTTGACACTGCAATTCAATTCCCTAATCCTGTGTGACAGCATAAAGTAGACACCCTAGCACCCATGGGATCAAGTCTCTCCTTTTTTATTTTTTGACAGGGTCTCACTCTGTAGCCCAGCCACCAACTTTTGATCCTCCTGCCTCAGCTTCCCGAGGACTGGGATTACAGGTGTGCCCCAGCATGCCCAGCCTTCACAGAATCAAGCCTGAACCCCTTCACACAGCAGATAACAAAGACCTTCCAGGGTCTACACCCTCTTTCCAGCTTTACTGTTTTATTTTTCAGTGCTGGGAATCCAACTCAGAGCCTCACACATGCTAGGCAAGACTGTACTACTGAGCCAAATCCCTAGCCCAGCCTGTTTTTTACAAGTCTCCAGCAATCTGGGATTTTCCACAATTTCCCGAAAGCCATCAGCCATCTCTTGCAATTTCCCTTTTTATCTTCCTCGGATCAAAGCAACATTCAAGGCTACCCCCTGCTCTCCACCCCTAGGACCTCAGGCTCTTGGCTATACAGCGGCCATAGTTTTTACACACTGGAGCCCTTCAGTGCACACAGGCCTGAGGGCAGGGATTGCATTCTGCTCAGCTGTGCTTTTCAGAACCCCAAGGCTTCATAAATGTTTCCTGAAAGCCTAAATGAATGGACTGCTGCCAAAGCTGGTTCTGGTACTACTGCTCACACGCCTCCTTGGACTCATACTTTGCCTTGTCTCAACCTCTCCTGGACTGGCTCAAGTTTAAGGAACCTGAAATTAAATTCAATGAGATCACCAGGTGTTTCTTTTTGGCTAATTGTTCACAACCTGCTTGAGCAGCTCATGGATCTGAGAAGCTCCTTTCTAAGGCTCCAGGGATGAGACTGGAATGGGTTTTCATGGCAGCTAAGTAAATGGTGAAAAATCACTTGAATTCAACCAATTCAAATTTCGTGGTAGGACAAAGGCCTGCATCAGATGCCTGCTGAGAGCTTCTTTATTTTTCCAACCTCTCCTTTGGGGATTTTGTCCTTTCAGTTTCATTTTTCTTAATACTCAGCAGCTGCATATTAATCAGGATGCTAATGAATCATAGGCTTCCCTGTGCCTGCATTCACCAATTAGCTTTAATAAACAAAATGTGCAGTGTCCTCTCTGCCGGCTTCTCCAGTTCCTGGGCCGGCTTCTGTTGCCGAACCCTGGACCGAGGCCCGAGAATGGAAGTAAGCCCAACGCAGTGTGCCTGGTGTGCTTGGCCTGCGCAGGAGTTGGGTGTGGGGTGGGGGCTATAAACACAATCCCTGAACTCATCTATAATGTTTGTCCTTCTAAGGAGTCCCTAATTCCGCATGGAGGATTAGGACAGAGTTCCCAAGCAGGGCCCAAGCTGGCAGGGGGCCCAGAAAATGGGTCTAAGCGGAAAGACCATCTGTTCGCTCCAGGTAAAGCTGTGATTGGCAGGCGAGTGAGCCAGAGCCGCCCGCTGCTGGGGCCCTCCCTCCGTGGCCTCTAACAGATAGACAAGTAAACAATCCGCCAGTCACTTATGACCACCGCGGGCGGCAGTCCCAGGAGGAGAGGCGAGCTAATCAAACATTCAAAGAAGAACAGAACAGAATCGCTGGCACTTGGGCAGAGAGATGTTTTGCTGAAGTACCGCCAGGAAGGGGGAAGGTTTGAATCGGAGCTGATGAGCCCACTCCTCACCCTCCATTCTCCTCTCCCGAAGTGTTAACATTTTAATCATGCTGCTGAGTATCTGCTGCTGGATCTATTAACTGGCCCCTGCACTGATTCTCATCCATCTGGTTTTTGGCTCTGCAGAGCTCCTTGAAGTCTCTAAATGATTTGCAATTCTCTGTGTCTCTTCACCACATTGATTCTGGTCTAAACAGGCTATTTGCAGTAAGATGATCATACAAACGATTTCAGCTATTTCTTCCCTTTTTCTGGTCCCTGATGGACAGCACACAGTAGAAACCATTCCACTGGTGGCCTGCTTTCCAATCCAGGAGTGGGGGAGTCAAGGGGAAGCTGGCTTTCTGTCCAGAGTCCTTAGGCCCTGTCCTGAGTCTATCACTCCTTCCTAGTGAGCTCATTCATTCCACAGCTGTCACTGTGATAATGACTCCCACAATGACATCTCTAGCCCTGTGTCCCACCCTGAGTTGTGAAAATCCAACCATCATTTTGCACCTGGACTGGATACAGTCAGTGAATGTCCCACCACTTAAACACTGCAACAAACAAAAAATAAGGGCAGAATAGAACTCGTGCCCTTGCCTCTGCCAGAGAAGCCAGTACCTGCTGTGGGAAACCACAAGCTGGAAATGTCCCAGGGAGCAGTGTATGCTGGTAAGCATAAGGCAGCTGGCCGCCAGGCACTGGTAGCTCACACCTGTGACCCTAGCCACTCATGAGGCAGAGATCAAGAGGACCACAGTTTGAAGCCAGCCCAGGCAAATAGTTCCTGAGACCCTATCTCATAAAAACCATCACAAAAAAGCACTGGTGGAGTGGCTCCAGCGTAGACTCTGAGTTCAAGCCCCAGTACTGCAAAAAAAACAAAACAAAAAAACAGGTGGCTTTCTGGGGGTACGAATGTGTGCCTGTTTGCCAATTGCTGGGCTGCAAAGCTCTCCCACCACAGATGGATTCAAGCTACCACCATGAAGTTGTTAGATGGCGACCCTGGAAAGAGGTGTTGAATCAGCTGTTACAAGCCAGCAGGAGCCTGCTCCAACACACCAGAGATGGGGACTCATTCACCAGGGGTTTTCTCCTTCTGTCTTGATGGGTGGTACCCCTGCTGGAGCCTCTAATCTGATACTCCATATCCACTCACACCCCCTCCCAGCCATTCTCCACAAAGCAGCAACAAATTTTTTTTTTTTTGGAGGTTTGAACTCAGGGCCTCATGCTTACTAGGCAGGTACTCTACCACTTGAGCCACTCTGCCAGCCCTAAGACAGGAACTTTTTATAACAGGAACCAGAGCAGGTTGCTTCTGACCCAGCAGTTACCTTCCTGGGTATCATCACCCTAGATATTTGCATGTGTGGGGAATGGTCTCCAGCACTTCCTCACACAGAAAATCTATGGATGCTCGTCTCTTATATAAAATGGCACAGTACATGCATAGATCCTACACATTTTCCCTTACAGACTGACTTTTACATATTTATATTTTTGCAGTACTGGGGATTGAACTTGTCTGGCTATATCCCAGTCCTTTTTCTTTTTGTTTTTCAGATAGGAACTCACACATTTGCCTGGGGCAGCCTCAGACCTTAGTCCTCCTACTTCCATCTCCCCAGTAACTGGGGGATTATGGGTATGTGCCCCATTGCCTGGCCCCTCATGTAGACTTTAAATCATTTCTGTCCTCCTGCCCAACTATTATAGTCTAAAACAAATCATCTCTAGGTGACTTGTAAGACCTAATACAACATAAATACTGTGCACATAGTTGTACTGTATTGTTTAGAGAACAATGATATGAACAAAAATCTGTATGTGTTTGGTATGGTACTTTTTCCC